CGTGTGTGATTTGTTGACTCGGACAAGCCCTAAGCCGCTTCTTCTCTGCCATAAACTTCAGCTTTTCTATTGTCCACAGCATTCTACTACCACACGCACCTTAACCTCTTTCTGTTATAACTGTCGAATCGAAAAGCAGAGATTTGCTGCCGACACTACGAACCGACACCATGACGGTATCAGTTCTTTGTTTCTATTCTCGTCGCCCAGAAGTCACCCCGGAGCATTTCCAGTCGTACATGGAGGAAACCCATCTGCCTTTGATCAAGGAGGTCTTCGAGATGCATCCCCCGCAGTCTTACAGGTTGCGCTATGTAATACGCGTCAAGACTGGGGCCGGAGACCGACTGGGTGCTGTCACATCAAGCAGAGCAAAAGCGGATCCTGATGCGCCAGTTGTACTTGTCGGGTCTCCTCAGGATATGGATTGGGATGCAGTAGGAGAGATGGTGTTTCGGGATGAGCTGCACATCCAGCAGTGTCTGTCCGTAATGAATGGCCCCGGTGGGCAGCGAATAAAGGAGGACGAGGAAACTATTGCGATACCGGAGAAGACCCGGGTAATATTAACGGCTGGGGACAACCTTTTCATCTGAGCCGGGCACGCGCAGGCGCACTTCAAGGGAGGACAGTACTATCTAAGGTACGTCTTCGAGACAGTTCTGCTTGCGAATACACTGACATCGATAAATCAGGGCAGATCGACGAGCAAGAGGACAAACGCCACCGGGTGGCGTCCGAGGAGTAAGTGGTCCTCCAAAAGCATGGAAATTCATTGAACCCGAGATCGCACAATGTTCCTGTTTGTGCCATCTACGTGGGAAAAGTGTACGACAACTAGGACGCCGACGGAGAGGCATATGCGATACCATAGACAGTTGCAGTCTGATAGAGAATGACTATTAATTTCGAAAGCCAGGGAGTTGCAAATGAGCTACGTTCGCTACACTTGTGGACGGCTGGCTGTTCCGGGAATCTGAACGATACGCCATCAATGCGCTTGACGAAACTTTGCGACGCGTCGGGATCTGCACGCCCAGCGACGCGTACGCGGAAGCTCAACATAACGATCGAGGCTTCCAGATTGTGAGAGGCGAGATTAGATCATTGGCCTGTACAACAGAACAGGCGGACAATATGGTGCGAGGATGAATGCAGGAGGGGTCAATGTGCGGACTTGAACAGTCGATGTTGCAGCGACAGTACCTAGGGAGGTGCAGAACACGCTAGGTCGCATCACGTGACTCTGTCGTCATCGATCAATTTCCTGTGGCCCAGCGCAGCGCAGCCGCTTCTTACAGTGAAGTTCCTTCCACAGCTTCAAGAGACCGACAACGGAGTTTGCATGCAAGGTCAACACACGAGTGCAACCTGCATTGGATCCAGAACACCCGCGTTGCATCGAGTGCTGAGAGGCAAGGCGTACACAAGCCGTTCAGGGCTGTCGCGGATTGGATACCCCCAGGGCTACTATCCATTACTGCAGATTCACCGCCTCCGACAGCCGTGTATAATGGAAAGCCTATTACTTTAAGTTTTGCTACTGCTGCTAGGTGCTTCGCAAGCCAGCTACGACGCTCCAGGTCGTTACGCCATTACCTAGGTCTCCCGTTACGGAACGGCTCGGTTTCTCTCCGTGGGTCTTTTTCCGAACCAATATGATAACGTTTCAATACACAGTGGGTATCGCAACAGCGCAATGTGGTCATCGGCAACATCTTTGCGAAGCCAGCATTGTATGCCAGACTACTAAATGGCGCTGCTATGAGGTAGGTTACAGCATGCACATGAGTAATGTGCGTTTGCATTGCCACAACGCACACTAGCAATGCCCATCAAACCCGAGGGCTCCATTTGCTGCAACCCGATATCTTCAGGCCTCACTCAATTCGCCAAGGTGTCCCGCACGCAAGTTTTGCTCGCGCACCCACACGCATGACATGGCTAGGCTGATTCTCCTTCCCTTGTCTCACCGCAAGGTCATGATTGGCGAGGAACGGGATCGGGCCGTAACCACGACTCAGCAGTCGAGACCTCTCTGGCCAAAGACGATCATGGGATGGCACCGGTCAGCGGCGCGCAGATATCGAAGAAAATCTTCGCAATACCTTGCATCCAATAACGAGACTACGGAGCCGCGCAAACTCTGGGTCATGATGGGTCTCAGGATAAAGGGGAAGTGTGGTTTCAGTGGATGTAACCTCTCCATATACTGAGCTATCTAAGGCGAACGCCTATACATGATCCAGGGTCCAAGAACTATCGGACCAGCAGATACGCTAATTCGCCGGCATTCAACGGCGAGTCTATCGGGGAAGCTGGGTCGCTGCAGGCATCGTGTTCGGCCCTGTAAGCCCGGACTGCTCTGATGGGACGACGTTCGACTCCGGTATAGTGATCAAGTACGAAGGAGGCAGACCAAATTAGGCATGGATGCTAATTCTCGACGTCGTTCGCGGTGCCCATCACTCCTTCTAGACTTTTCTCGGTACTTTCCCACTCCCTCCTCACCGCATCCAACACCCATGGTCCTCGAGGCTTCAGACGGAACCTAAATGGCCTTGGCTCAGTCATGAAGCCAACGACTATCATTTGCCATGGATCCACCTCTTCTCCCTGTATGGCTTCCACATCAAACGCCCATAGCAGATTTGCGATATTCATGAATGTTCCGTCAGTAGCGACACGCTTTCCTTGACATATCCTTCGACCTTGGCCAAACACAGGGAGTGGCAGATCACCGCGGACCTTCCCATCACGCAACCAGCGCTCAGGAACAAATTCCTGTGCATCACCAAGCGAAGGATCGAAGACTGCCTCGTCGCGGCCGATGGCCCACGCGTTCGCCATGATGGTCACACCCTTGGCAATCTTCACGCCAGCGAACTCATCCGCGCGATCAGCACGGCGCGGAATAGAACCAGGAGATATGGGTCGCCATCTGAATAATTCATGTGCTATAGCGTCAACGTAGGTGAGGTCGTGCCGGTCTGAGAATGTAGGAAGACGCTCTCTGCCGACGACTTTGTCTAGTACTTCATGCGCACGGGTCATAATCTCGGGATTGTGCATTGCTGCGACAAAGAGCCAGAGAATCTGACGAGGGGACGTTTCCATACCACCCTGAATAGATGTCGCGAGTGTGAAGGCAAGGTCAAGATCGGACACTGGCGAGTCGGTGGGAGCATATTTCGGTGCGGATGCGATTGCTTGCTTTGTCGCGTTCCAGCCTGGCGCATCTCTGCCATGGCGGAAGAGGCGCATGTAGAGCTTAACCTGAGCCGCGTAAAGCTTGTCAGCATACTGCTGCCATGGGGAGATAAGAGTAGGCAAGTGTCGAAGGACTGGCATAAGATCCGGGAGCTGCGGATTCGCGGCCAGATGTGTGACCTTCGCTTGGATTGCAATGACTTCGTGCAGGATTGGCTCTTCGAACTTGGGTATGCGGAGACCGTAATGGAGGGCAAGGATGACACTGGACTGGGTCCGCTCGAGCAGAGGATATATCGTCTTCGTGGTGATTGTGGAACCATCTTTAGACTTCTCCAAGGCAGCGATGAGATCGAAGAGCAGTTGCTTAGCTTCGAGTTCCATAAGAGGCTGATACTTGCTTGCCGCCGGCGCACCAAGACTTGGTGAAAGAATGCGGTGGTGTAGTTTAAGGTGATCGTCATAGTCGTGCATCAGCGTGAATCGAGAACGACCTGGCCCAGCCCCAGTGATCATCTCCATGCTCACTGAGGCCGGTCGGTTGCTGTACCATTGGCTACGACGACTGAAGAGTTCAGTGACGGCCTCGTACGAGTTGAGCACGACAATGGGCACAATTCCAAACAGTTTCGGAACTGTAATCGGGCCGTGTTGTTTGGACCAGGCGCTCCAGTTTACCAATGGTTTCTCGATTGGCGAGCTGTGGAGATCACCAATGAGCGGCAGCTTGAGGAGGGGCTTCTCGGATGCATCTCTGCTCTTGTTGGTGTAAAGGTAAAGTGCGGTCAGGGCACTCACGGCCAGAAGGACGGTCACGACAAGGCTGGACATGGCTGGAGGAGCAACCCACGAAAGCTGTGGGTGACACAACCACTTGTAGGTGTCCAGAATGGCGGATACGTGCATGCACGGCATTACTCAAGCGGATTGTTCCTGGAGCCATGTCCAAAACGAGTTAGCCCAGCCGGCACTTGGCAACAACGGCCACCTTTCGCGTATGAATCCCCGAAATCGTGATAACAGCTTGTTCGGATCTGGACGGCAGTGTCTCGGCGCCATGCCCTCGTATTGCGTGTGATGGGCTCTTCTTCTTACGACTAGACTCCCATGACAGATGCCGCCATCACTGGCGTGATCACAGTCGGAAGACCCGAAACGTTCCCCGGACAGCATCGCATTACACATCGACCAAGCGCTGCGTGCGCGCGTGGGCTGAGAGGCTCTGATATAGATCTGCTCGGGTATGCATGGCGAAACCGTTCGCGTCGCGGCACACGCTTTATCCGGTTTTTACACGGTAGCCCGCCCTCCCCAGGGCCTGAAGCGTAGTGGGCAGGCTCGGATGGGAGAACCTGCATGCGCAGGTCTTGTACAAGAGGAAAGGCAGGTCACGCGTCCTATCAGCAACGAGAATACGACACCGCACAGGATATGCCCCAAAGCCTAGCCGGATGGGGCCGCTGTCACGGTTTTAGTGCCGTGGGCCCAGTCGGGGTGAACGCCTGAGCCGGCACGTCGGGAGAGGAACGGCTCTTCAGGCCTGCGAAGGATTTCTTGTTGGAATCCTAAGCCAAGGGGTATCTTGATCAGCGCGGGAAAAGACATGGGGTGCGCAAACAGAAATGCGAGGCTTCGCACGGGGAAGTCGGCAGCTCATATGCCCAGCTCCTACCCAAGATCGATCTTCCCGCAGCGGACCAGCTTGTTTATTCACCTCCGAGCCCGAGACGATACAGACGTCGGCGCATGAGTTGCACAGCAGAGTATTGCATCGGGATCTGCACGACAACATGACCACCACATTCCCTATTCGAACTCATGACCAGAGAGCGGTACTGGGTGTCGCATTCAGCTTCTCAATTCTTGCTGCACTGGCCGTCACCCTACGACTGATCGCTCACGCGATAGCTCACAAAAGATGGACAATTGCCGACTACTTCATCATTGCTGCCTGTGTAAGATATCTAGCTCCGGATATCGCCAACACTACTAACATCTTACAGATTTTCGCTATTGGCCTACAATCTCTCAGTATTACCGGAGTCTTTCATGCCGGCATTGGCTACGATCACGTCCAGAACATCGTAGTAGCGTACGGCCTCGAACCTATCACCAAGCTCTCGCAGCTCATCATACCCCTGCAGTTTCTGTGGGTTCTGAGTCTTAGCTGTACCAAGATTTCGATTCTGTCTCTCTATATCTTGATCTTTCCGATCCGGTGGGTGGTCTGGAGTTCCTACGTGACCTTGTCCATCATTGTTGCTTGGACAATCGCAACCATCCTCGCTGGCTGTCTGATTTGCCGGCCTTTCGCCTACAACTGGGATAAATCGATTCCTGGAGGAAGCTGTGGCGATCAAGTCACCTCATTCACGATTACCGGGGTCATCAACTTAGTCACCGACGTCATGGTGCTTCTTCTGCCCATGCGTCCGTTGTATCAACTGCAAATGGCGACGTACAAAAGAGTGACTCTTGTCGCCGTTTTCGGCCTGGGTACTTTGTGAGTCGAAATGAGATCCTGTCGTCAGCTCTGATCTAACCGGAGCAGTACCTGTATCGTCAGCGCCTTCCGCATCTCCGTCCTGTCCAGCATGGACTTTACCGATATCACCTATACGATCCCCAAAGCCAATATCTTCAGTGGCCTGGAGCCATGCCTCGCCGTAGTCCTCGCATGCGTGCCTCTGATGCATCCACTTCTTGGTCGGTCCGCAGCAACACCTCACGCGTCGGGGAAGAAGAAGTCCTCGAATGCTGAGTCTAAGTCCAGTGGGCAGAAAGCTGTCAGCGACGACGGGTTCGAGCGGCTAGACGATGATACGAGTCACCTGTGGCTCAAACCGATGGGACTGCAGCATCGCGCTGATGAATCGGATTTGCAGGAAACCATAACCGGAGATGCAAGCGAAGGAGATCAGGAGTCTCTTCATCGACATCGGGGTAACATCGGTATAGCTACTTGAGCTGTTGGCTCTCTTAGATCCTAGTAACGATCACACGACCTGAGGAATCATCATAAACGAGACCCACTACTCACCGCTACACCTTGCTGATGCCACCAAGTCTTCTTGCCAGTAGGTAGTGCGAATTTGAGTCTGGAGAAAGTCGCGAAGGCCGATCCAGCGCTTGACAGGAAATATCTGGACAGTCGGCTGCGCAGATGCGACGTTACCATGCTGACGACAAGGCTAAAACAACCGGCTATACGCATCGCTCCACCCGTAGCAACTCATAAGCCCAATAGGGATCAGCTTTCGCAAGGGAAGGTAGAGAGGAAGCGACAAGTGTGAAGATCTTGGCGGTATCATGGCCCGTGCTCGCCACGCGACATTAACGCGTCGGACGTTCCTGCTTCCGTGCCATCAACTTTACTGTCCTACGGCAGCACTCCTACTTTCCGACATCGACGAGTATCTTGATGTGTTTATCCTTCTCGTGTAGCAGCGCGAGAATACCATCTTCCACCACTCTATCCATCGAAATCGTACGCGTGATCATCTTCTCTGCATCGATCGTTCCCTTATCCAGCGCGTCGATAACTCGCCCGAAATCCGCACTGGTGTAACTCAGCGCTCGGAATAAGTCAGCAAGGCTTCGATTCATTCCAATGGTGTATCGTGATGGCTTACCCGTGACCAGCCTCTTTTCCCCAACCAATAAATTGTCCGGGTTGATGGGGATCTCTTTACCCCACTGGGCAACATTCACCACCGTTCCCCTGCTTCGAACTGATAAACAGGCGGACTTGATACTGGCAGATACTCCGGCGCAGTCAAAAGCAACGTCAGGGCCCTGGTCATTGCACAGCATCTTGCATCTGGAGACCATGTCTTCGTCCGTCGGATCGATCGCCGCCGTAGCTCCAAAATGTAGAGCCAAGTCCCTTCGACTCTGAGCAACTTCAGCAACGATCACCTGGGCAGTATCCAAGGCTTTCAGGCACTGGAGAATGGCCAAACCAATCGGGCCGGCGCCGATAACCAAGATGTTGTCCCCTGCTTTGGCGGCCGACTGTTCAACTGCATGCCAAGCAACTGCAAGCGGTTCGACCAAAGCTACGCCAATCTGTCAGCGTCCTTCCCCACCTCAAGTGAGCTTCCCGACTGTCTTACCTCCGATCTCTGACGTTATCTTCTCAGGCAGTTTGAACACGAACTGCGCATCTACGCACACCCGATCCGATAACCCACCTCCCCAACCCATGATTCCCACGAACCCAAACGAATCGCAACAATTAGTAAAGCCGCCTTTGCACGAAACGCACTGCTTGCAGCAAATGGTGGGCTGGACGGCCACTCTGTCTCCAACCTTGAGACCTTTGCGCACCTGCGCTCCGACCTCGACGATGTCCCCAGAAAACTCATGCCCGAGAGTTACAGGCCATGTCTCACCGGTGATCGGATGAGGCGTGTCTTTGAAGGGAAGAGCGTCCGGTATGCAGTAGAAGTGCAAGTCGGACCCGCAGATCCCACAAAAGGAAGGTCGAATCTTCACTTGATGGGCATCACATACCGGCTCTGGAACGTCGTGTTCCAGACGCATCTCCTCAGCACCATAATAGCGGAGGGCCCGCATATTGGTGGTTCGAGTGGGTTGGACGAAACAGTGATGTGGTTCAATTTCGAGGTTGGGTGTCGATCACAGACAAGTGAATGGATTGCACGAAAGCAGTCGTAAGTTCATAGTCGAATGTACATGCTAATCTTGTAGCTTTGTACGGAGGCTGACCCGAGAAAGAAAGAGGGGTACTAGCCGACGTCACGCAAGATGCGTGTCAGCCTTAGAGACTCACGCGCAAAACGCGCCAATGCTAGACACGTCATAATCACTGCGTATTACACCAAGCGGAAGAAAGTTGCGTCGCAGAACTGATGTTATCCCATTTCGACTGTGTATTGACTTTCCATCTTAGGGAGACGGCATCTCTCAAGGCGAATTTACATCTTGACTATCTCCGCCTTCACATGAATTCCTAACGAGGCGGCAATCAGGTATGATCTCAGATCACTTACACATCAAATTCCGATAAGCAGATCAACTTCTGTCTTGATCACACTGCGCCCCCGGACCTTCGAAATAAGCTAACACAGCATCGATATCCCCGACCGTGAACTCACGGCCATCAGGATACGCATGAGTCCGTGCCCATCGCGCCGCACGAGCGAGCTCGCCCCAATCCTTCGGATCTTGCGCCTCCGGACAATCCAGCAAAGGCATGCCAGGATGATAATTGAATCGGGGTACGAGCGACGTCGACGCCAATCGTTCCACGTCGCTGTAGTCAAAGGTCTGGTTTGCTGCCATGAGTGCATCCATTTGCCCTGCTGCTTCCTGGGGATCGAGGTATAGCCAAGAGTCGGGGAAAGCGTTGTCGTCTTGTACATAGCCTTCGGGTATGCAGATATCGGGAATGGCGGGCAAGTCTACCTGGGCTGGCTGAGAAGCCTGGTATACGAGCTCTGATGCTACTGCTGCAGCGGCCTCTTGCGATCTCGATCGTACTGGGTGCGCTTGGAGTGGGTGGCTATAGCTGTGCTCATTGAAGTTCAACCCGTTGTACTCTTGGGGATGTGACTGCATCTGTGGAGGCCACTGGGGTAGATCTTGGGAGTTGGCTTCCATCACCGGTGGATGCTGCACAGCATTCGGCATTAAGACGCCCATTCCCGTCGGAGGCATGCTGCTGTACCCTTCATCCCAGGACGAGAAGCCGACCGTCGGCTGCATTTGCTGTTGAGCCAGTGGATCCATCGGAAAGGCTCCAAGCGGCGAAGGCTGACCAGGGTGGAAATAGGGAACGGACTGAGCAGCCTCCTCCTCGGCAGCCTGTCGCTGGCGCCGCTGTTCATTCAGCTGCTTACGACGCTCACTTTCTGCCACTCGAACCGCTTCGGAGTATCGACTTATAACAGCATCATCGTAAATCTCTCGGGTAGTTTGAACGGTACCAATGCATCCGAGAATGATCTGGATATCATCCGGGAACATGAAGTCCGTCAGCTGGCCGTGCTCATCAAGCTTCTGGTACCGCAGCGCGAAGTCCAATGCGCGAGTAAGATCACCCATGTCGTCATTCACGGGCAGACTCTTCAGACCAATCGCTAAGTCCTTGAATGGTATTGATGGCGGTGGAACATAATCAGCTTTCTTTGCAGCTTCCGGAAGGAAATTGTTGATGCACATCACCGACTTATCCCAGTTACCTGGGACGTAATGCTTCGCTTTGGTCCAGGTTGGGTAGGTTCTGCGCATCGTCTTTCGATATGTGTCCGAGATATGGTCGCGGGCGCGCTCTGCTTCCTCGGAACTGGTCAAGCCGAGGTGACGATGCTTGTCCAGAATTGCAAAGTGAACTGCAGCAGTGATGCCGTTGTTCAGCATGCGGTATGCGACAGCAGGATTGCGGAACCATTGTGGGAGTATTACAATCAGATCCACGAGAGTTGCATTGATTGGCCTATCGCAACGCAGCTTATACTCGTGGGCCGGAATGTCAACCAGGAATTGAGCGCGAGGCTTTCCTCTCGCAGGAGCTTTTGGCACTGCTGTGTCATCACCCTTCTTTGTAGGGAGTTGATGTGGCGTAGGCGAACCTCCAGGGCCCGCTTGCATTGCGTTTCGGTGTGGTAATGGCGTGTAGCCTGTATCAGGCTCCGTGAAACTCATACTATCTTCGGGACAGTTACAGTCAATTCTAGTAGATTCTAGCGAGAGTGGTGGTAAGTTGCGAGGTGGTGGGTCTGTGCCAAGGGCAGAGTAGAGCGGTTGATATACTTGAGGCGCAACAGCAAGCAGAGTGAATACGAAGAGAGTGAACTAACTTTCACTGACCGTTGCGGTGAAGCCTATTCTACCATGGCTTCGTATCCCTTAGTATGTTCGATAAGAGAGCTTCATTTCTGCGCCGAAAGTCGTCGCCTTGGAAAGATTGAAGAACGAGGGCATTCTGAAGGAAGTGAATATGATCTGGCTTTCATGCTGATCTCGTATAATATCTCCAAGACTTTCTGAATGTGCCATGATTAAAGGCGTACCAATGCCGGACTCAGAGGCCTAGCAGCTTCAAACGCCCTTTCAGCTGGGAAAATATCCTGGCGGATAGTTCCAAACTTCCTTGATGCCAGCATAACTCGGGAAGTTTCCACCTTCAACAGTATTATCTTGAGTCAAATCGATAACCTCCGCAGTCGCAGCTGCCAGCTTCACCTTCTTGCGTCTCTTATCTTGCTCGAATCTGCTGTTTCCCAAGAGCAGCTTCTTTTTCCTAACCCTTCTCTCTTTTGCCAGGCGTTGAGAAAGCACGCCTTCTGGCTCGTGGTATTGATCCCAATGACACAGATGAACTGACTCCGTTTCCCATGTGTGACTCATTAGGTCGACGTTCGCAGGCCGGTTGAGAAGGAGCAGAGGTCGACATGGGCCAAAGTTTTCTGGCACGACTTCCCACTCGTTACGCCAGACTCTAGTGGTGACAGCATCTTCGTACGCCGCAACCTGCGCATTCATCGCAACATTTTCATGAAAGTAGGGCGCCAGCGGAATTCGTCTTTGTTGTGTAGGAATGATCGGCGCTATATGAGGTGGATCGGGTGGCGGGGTGCCGTTGAAGTAGCCGTGGAAGTGAGTCTTCTGCTGGTAGCTGGGCACTGCGCGTGCGTCTTCTGTTCTCTTCGACTTGCGGAAACCATAGTTGTGCGGGTTCCCAACGCGCTGTGAGTGTAAATGAGCTGGAGCCATAGTGAGGCAGCAAGATGGTTGGTGATAGTGGCTCTTTTGCGCAATGCGTAGTGGTGTGGATGTCGTGGGCGTTGTCGGCGTTGTCGGAGTGTAGCTTTTGACTGTCTGGTTGAGTTGCAATCCAAGGCTCGCATTGAGGTCTTGAGCCCTCAGGGTGGTGATGTAGAGCCACAGAGCTATTGTACGCCGAGCTATACGATGATCCTCTCACGTCCTCCGTTTTCACCATGGTGAGAATGACCTCAATAGGCAGTGGTGGACGTGAGAGACAAACGAGAGAGTTGCCCCATTGTGCGACGACGTAGTATTAAGAGTGTGATGTTACCTAGGGAGAAAGGGTTTGTATCCCTGTAAGGACCTTCTAAACGCGCGTGTTGATCGACTGTTTCCATGGTTCACAGTAGCGGCAGTGTGGGTGGTGACTTGCTCTTCGGGCAATCAGGTAGGGGCTATCGCCGAAAGCGGGCCCGGGCATCGTCGGCAGCGCCGCCGCGAAATAAAACGCGCATCACAAGCGAGAAACGCGATTATGAAAACGCAACATGAGAGGGAGGAAGCAGGAAGAAAACCGCAAGGCAGCTGATATTGGGAGTCAGGTTGGGGTTAGTAAGCGGGGGTGGCGGGCGCGGGCCCGGAGACAGCAGGCGCAATTCACATCGCGGCTGCATGAGTGGACTGCAGGCCAGCTACGAACCAGCGCTAGCCTTCACAATGTATGTAATGCACGATTTTCGCCCCAAAAGATCTTCGGTTCAGTGGTGTGTTTCACGATTTTGCTTTTCTAAGATGTGAGACGAGGCTGTAAATTGCTTGTCCACCTCCGATAGCAAAGAAGTGGAAGTGCCCTCCTGCATCGGTAACTTGCTAGACAAGCTTTCAGGCCACTTACACTTCGCAGAACAATGCCCAGTCTCAGACTCTCATCCTCCAAGCGTAGACACACTCGACGTATGGTACCCAGCTAAAAAGATCTCCGTCCTTCACAGAAAAGGCACTCTTATAGCCATGACGAAATCCGATCCACTGAGGTGCCCGAAGAGATCAGTGACGAGCATGCGCGCTGCCATTCTGGGAGGCTGCTGAAGAACTGTCCTTGATCCAGGACCATGTCTCGTCCATGTCCATGGGGGCTGAATGAACCGAGCCCGCAGACTTGCTCTTGGACTTCTTGGCCTTCACATTGACAGTGTGTGGAGTCGAAGAGACAGCTCTGGTGTTTCTGGGCGCTGGAATGTAGGAGTAACGAGAAGCACGTAACCTCGCAGCTCGGGCTACTTCTTGCGCGTCCTTGACAACCTGTCGGGCCCTGTACAACTCGTCCCTGGCGGCACGTGCAGCCTTCTGGATTCGCCTCTTCTCTCTGGCGTCACGTTGCTGCCTACGCGTGAGCCTAGCATACTCGTCGGCTGGCGTAGTGACTGGACGCGAAGACTGCGGAACTTTGACAGCGGGAGGAAGCATGGTCGTAACTGTGCGGAATTAGTGCAAGATCGGTGGATATTCAAGTGAACTCTACCTGAAGCATTGGAACGCTCTGAACCGATGAGTGGAACGCTAGAGACGCCAACAAGTTGGCCATAGCCATGAAGTCTATTTTGCTGTCTCGACAATGGTACGGCAGGTTCGTTCCCGCCAGTCCTTGTCTCGACAGTACTGAGCGTGGCGACCGAACCGTAAGCCATGATGCCAACAGCCCGCCGCCAGTACTTCCGGAATAGTGATTGCTGCGTGTAAGGTGAGATATATCGAAGTAACAGAGAGGAGTGAGTGTGACTGTAGTATGGATACTCTGTTTGGCTTTGTCGTGGGACGAAAGCGAGCGTGGAGCCCAGTATCGCCAAGGCAACGACTTAGCGCGCGCATTCTCACCGTCTCAGCAAACAGCTGCTGTCCGCACCGTATCTGAAAAGCTGGAGAAATACGTTGTACGAGCGGATAGGAGAGAAATGTCGCAAGATCATGATTCATCGCGCGGCAAATTGATCTTTAATTATCGTATGCTACAATGCGCTTTCACCTTGATCAACCGCTGCGAGTAGTGCATTGATGGATATACGATGAGGAGACCGATATCTATCCAAGAAAAGTAAGGATGTTTCGTATGAAAGCACCCCTGTTTACTCTATGCATATAGGCCACATGATTCCGCAACAGGAGACAGGCCTAGAAAGATGCACTGTCGCAAAGAAAAGACATGTTACATTCCATTGTAATGCCGCCGACGTGAGTCGCTCTCAACTCACCAATCAAAGTCCTCGTCATCTTCTCCCATATCGCTTTTGTCATCCTCGACAACGTTGTCTACACCCGTATTTCCAGTACGACCCACCGTACGCATCTCCGCCGGAGTGAGAATCCGCCTGTTCGAAGCCGGAGTGTGTTCCACTTCACTCTCATCCGCTTCGTTATCTTCTTCTTCCTCGCCATCTAGGGTGTTCTGGAAGTTATATGAGCCACCGAAGCGCTGGCCGCGTGGAGACGATCGTGTGCTAACCTTGGCCTTCTTGGTCCGCTTCTTGGGTCCGGCATAAGCGTCAGAATCAGAATCAGAGTCGAGCGCTTCAGGCAGCACCTCTTTGCTAAGGCGTGATGACGACCGGGTTCTCGGTGAGCGACGTGCAGGCGTCCTTGGCGACGTCTTCTTGCTTCGCTTGGACTTTTGCCTCTGTGGAGTGTCTTGGTCGTCTTTGTTGGAAGTACGCTTGCGTTTCGATGAGTTACGGGTGCGCGGCATGAGTTCATCTTCGTCCGACGTGTCATCTTCTATGACGTTCTTACGCCTCGAATCCTTCTTGGTGGCAGTGACTGGCTCATCGTCGTCAATGTCCAAAGCATCAAAATCGAAGTTCTCTAGATCTGCTTCAGACTCCTCTCCATACTCTTCATCCAGTAGCTCTTCTTCATCTGAGTCAACCACGAAGCCCTTCGGCTGTTTCATGAGGCGCCCATTCCTATCACGCTGTCGTGCACCGGCTCGCTTCGCATTGTTCCGCTTCTTTTCGGAGGTGTGTCTCCGAATTGCAGCATCGTCGTGATGGTGTGGGTGCACAGTGGAAGCACCCCCGAGTTGAGCAACCAGGGTCTGGAAATCTTGAGGATATAGCCAGCTCGAATCGTTATTCTTTACGCAATACTGCACACATCGTGTAAGATCTAGCGAATCATGTCCCGAAGGCATGATCTTCACTCCGTTTGCCATATCGCGAAATGGAATGCTAGGAGGAGGCTGAGTGGTTGCCACAGCCCTTTCACGGGAGTTGAAGTTGTAAGGTGGGGCAAAGCCTGCTACGCTGACACTGGTGGGATTAAATCCAGCAGGTTTCAGTAAAGTCGTATGTTTGGATACTGTCCAATCCTCGTAAGTCGGCTCGGTCTTCGCGCGATGAAGCATTGGTCCCTTCATCATCCGATATATCGTATTGTTCGTGATCGGACCGTACGGCATGTCTCGGTAATGGTTAATCATGTCTGCGAATGTCCCCGATAGGGCGCCATTGTGGAGAAAACGGTCCATGATGTCGAAGGATTTGATGGCATGCGGAATGAAAGCAAGTGTTTCTGCCAAAGTTAGGTTGCCATGGGGAAGATCTAGCCAAGCTGAAGGCGCATCCTTCAGTTTATCATAGTATGGGGTACCCGGGCCAGTGGATTTCCTTCCTCCGGGAATCGGTTTCCTTTTGACAATCTTACTGGAAGCAATGTCTTGGTGAGCGACAGGAATTGGGATTTCGTTTCCATTTCCAATGAAGGCAGGTTGGTCATCTGGATAGTTTTGGTTGTCTTCTTCGTCACTTTCAGGCTGATCAAAGAGACGAGCTGTAGCGTACCCATCGTGGGTTGCAACCTCAGCGTGTAGTGGATACCACTGGAGGTCTGCAGGGATATTTTCTTCTGCCCTGTATTCTACAGCAATCATGGGGTCGATAACGCGATCATTGAAGGCGGTTCTCGCCTTCCCAAGGCGGTGTTTGTTGTGGCCATCGATGATTTTGCACTCCTCATGCATTGATTGATGAAGCACCTTCATTTGATCAATACCCTGGGAGTTGCATTCCATCAGGCTCTCTTGATGCTGTGTTTGAAGCAGTTCGCGCACGTCTGGGAGGTTCGCGAAGAGATGGCCGGCATTTAATTGTGCTCGGTCGAGCATATCCTGGACTTCGTCCCGCGTGAATGTGATTGGAGACATGGTTTCAATGCAACCTGAGTATAGGGTAAAACAGTTGCTTTGGCTGGTCAGGGGTGAGACAGTTGAGTTGTGCTCACCAAGGTCAAGATTCGTGAGACAATATCAAATCGAAAGAAGGGGAGTTTACCGTGGTAGGGTGAAAGTCCAGCAATTGCTGGCTAGTATTGTGTTCACTCGCCGTTCTATGTACCAAAGACACTGTGTATACAACAGGAGGACTGCACATCTAGAGGAGTGTGTGGAGGCCGAGGCGACAAGGAAACAAAGACGTCGAGTCGAACATTGTTCGACTCTTTGTTTCAATGCTCGTAAGAAGACTCAAGACAGACTGATTCTGGTGATGCGACGAATGCGACCTGATAACCGACATTGCACAGACTCAAGATATACATCCCGGCCTGTCGATTGCTTCTCATCATCGTGTAGCATGAAGCAAAATCTCCAGCGCCAACGATGTAGACGGTTTGACGTGAGATTCTGGCTCTTGAGCTGTGTTTCCGATGTAACAACCTTAATGACAGACATTACTGCACTTTAATCATCTGCTGGCAAAGTCGATACTTGAATGTCTGCGGACGACGTTAGATTGCTGGATGGCAAATGTTTCTGCAAGCTCTGGATGTAGCATGCGGTGGCCGTATTGGTCGGCAAACAGTTGGCCTCAAGAAAACAATAGTTGCAGTTCCCCATGGCATTCGTATCCTGATCGATGCTGTAGTCGCTGATGCGATGAATGGGGTCACGGATGGGGTCGGCAGCGGCAGCACTTGAGGCCAATCCGTCGGGGAAGCCGCTTATCCGGTTCCGCTCTAGCGCCGCTTCCGTCCGGAGATTATTCCAAGGTTCCAAGGTTCTTCACTCTATCCGCGGCTTCCCCTCATTTCCTTGCGGCATCCGGGTCGGTGCATTACAGTACGACCAGTTCGCAGGGTCGTTCGGTACAATGATTGCCTGAAGATGCTCAGATCCCACTATATTGTTCCTGGCCCTGCCATCGTCGCACTTGGGCAATTTGCGGAGGACAGCCTTAGAGCCCGCCTGAGCAGCAACTCCGCCCAGCCTGCTACGCCGCAACCTATGCATGTAGACGCAAAGCGACAGAACCTGCTCGGCTTACCTCCACCGAAATAACGTATTTACTCACGAACAAAGTAAGCCCGCAGATGACGTTGCTACCCCTCGCCCAGGAATGCCATGGCAGGTCTAGTGCAGAACTGGCAGGTCAAGGCCACCACATCTTGGGGAAACGTCCCGATTACACCTCATCCATGATTAACCGGGCTCCTGGGCAACATCAATCATGTCACCGTGCGCACGTTGAGCTGCCAATGTCCATGGTCAGGGCTTGGAACAACACGCTTTGTGCTTATCATGGTGCCAGCAAACTAAAATGCGCCCAGGTGAGGAAGATGGTCAGCTATATAAGGCCCATCTTCTACAATCTTGAATGCCTCACGCTCGTCAATTGATCGCTTCCTTGGCGGAACAACATCATGAAGTTCGTACTCAGCCTTGCCTGGCTATCCCTCGTTGCAGGTGCGACCATCCGCAGCCCACAGCCTCGTACATATGATGGGTACCAAGTCCATCGCGTCCGAGCTACTGGATCCCAATATGCTGCAGCAAAGCGAGCTCTTGCTGCTGTTCCTCACGAGACTTTGAACGAGATTCGTGGAAACCTGGATGTTCTTATTGCACCCGGGCAGTTGGACGCCTTCAAGGCTTTGGGGCTCAAGTCTCGAACCTTGCATGAGAACCTGGCCGATTCTATCGCCCGGGAGTCGCACGTCAAGAAGGCCTGGAAGAGGCAAACTAACGGTTCAGAAGATGCGTGGTTTGATAGCTACCACCCGTATGAAGACGTAGGTGATGTATCACTGCTATTCTATCCAAAGCTGACTGACCATTATTAGCACATTACGTGGTGGCGCGATCTACAGGAATCGTTCCCAGACAATTCGAACTGGACGAGCACTGGAACATCTTTTGAGGGGCGCGACATGTTCGGCGTTCATCTCTACGGAAAAGACGGCCCAGGAAAGCCTGCGGTCATCTACCACGGAACTGTTCACGCTCGTGAATGGATCACTGCTATGACCATCGAGTATATCGCCAAGGCCCTCACCTACGAATACAAGGCAGGCAACAACTACACGCAAGCCATTCTGGATAACTACGACATCTACATGTTTCCCTTTGTCAACCCCGATGGTATGTCACATCACCAAGGATAGATTCACTGATTATTGCTAATACATGCTAGGCTTCGTCTTTTCTCAAACAGACGACCGCCTATGGCGCAAGAACCGTATGCCGCCACCAGAGAACGCTGCCAATCAGACATGCTATGGTCGCGACGTGAACCGCAACTGGGAGACGTGAGCAAATTCCCTGCCCTATGCGTATGGCATACACTGACATATAATCTCAGGAACTGGGATGCTGACCCACGCGGAGCTTCCACAGACCCATGCTCGCAGACATACAGGGGAGAAGCGCCCCGCGACACGCCTGAGAACCTGGGAATGGACAACCTGATCCGCAAGATCCGCGATGAGCAAGGCATCAAGCTATATATTGACTGGCACAGCTACTCTCAGCTGATTCTGTACCCATTCGGTCACAAGGAGACTCTCTATGCGCCAGAGCTCGGCATGTGGACCAAGGCAGCTGCTCTAATGAGCGAAAACATCGCCTACTACTCGACCAATGCGACTACCTACACGTACGGCCCTAGTGGAGCAACCTTGTACCCGACGACCGGTGCGTCTATCGACCATGTGTACACCATCGGTCGCGCCAAGTTCTCCATGACCATCGAATTGCCCGATACTGGTGACTTTGGCTTCGTCTTGCCTCCGGAGAGGATCAGGCCTGCAGCTGAGGAACAGTGGGTGGGCCAACAGGTACTGCTCAGCCTGTTGGATGAGGAGTTCTTCGATGGCGAAGGCCCAGCGATTGGCGCATTGGGTACTACATGGTAGATACATGGAGGTATTAGCTCAGCTTTGTTCTATTGCAGCTGGTACAAACCGCTTTCTATCAACCATGACCCGTAATAGCAAGCCAAGATGGCATTGTCGTCTGTCAAGTCTACATTCGTCTTTATTTCTAAGAACTCTGCTCACATCTTGATATACTGTCGCACACTTTAGCTGTCCACCATCTAAAGCGACTGGGAAAGCTTTTCTTCTCTCATGTCTTGCCGCCGTCACCTCCACTTCCACGCGGCTAGCGCTCACAACGACGCGTCCGTGCGCCAGAAGTGAAGGTGAAGCCAGCACCTCTCGTCATCCTCATCTTCCGCATTTGGCATATTGATATCATCGTTCTTATCACCACTCCTCTTCCTCGCTGCAACGCTAACAGAGGTCTCTGTACTTCGACTCGCCCAGCATGCTGCTTCCTCCCACCGATCCGCACCTTTCGACCGCAAGCACGCAATCAACGTTCGAAACCATGGGACATACGTGGCGTACGCCTTCTCCAAGCAGAGAGGCTTACATTAGCTCTAGTGAGTTTAGCGGATACATGAAGTGGGCGACAATCGAATACTAACACATAAGCAGGCAACGTCAACTCGCCGCAGGTCGTACCTGAAGCTCACAACGATCTCTCCGACGAGTATTCAAGCTATCAGCAACGCGTTGAAAGCCGCGCTTCTGGTACTGCGGCGGTGGAGGCTGCAAAGCATAATCGACGACGCAACGCAGCATTGTCACGTCTCTACAACGTGTTCGACGGCAAGAGTGACTCCGGCGACCAGAAGCCATACAGTCAGACTGTTATCGTCAACAGCGAGGACGGAGGAGTAGCGCAGCCTGAGCAGCCATCCACGCCCAAGAAGAATCGCGTGCCGATCCTTTGGCATGGACTACCATCCCCAGAAACGCCGACATTTTGCAACTATACACGAGCTATCCCTCCAGCTAGCTCTGCGCAAGAGGAGCTATCATGGCAGACTTCTCTCGAGGAGACCAAGAACGACATTGAAACCGTCCTAGTGAAGGCGAATCACACTACCAATAAGTTTTCGGTACCAGCGCAGTCTCCTATTGACAACGACAAGGCGAACGACGACGGCTTGAAGCCTATGATCTCCCAGACTCCCGAGGATGATACTGGGGCTGATGCGAAACTGGCTCGCGAACTTGAAGAGTCTCTGAATCCGACGGCCACACGTCGCAGTACCAGACTGCGCACACAGCCCAAGCCATCGTGTAAGTCTTGCACTCCCTAGTGTTATCACTGTTTCCGCTAATTTTCATTCCTTAATCAAGACAATGTTCAAGTACCAATCGCAGCGCCCAAGACTCTTCGCAAATTGTTGCCCGCGACGAAACCAACGGAGTCTTCGGCACATCCAGAGTTCAGCTTCAGCACTGAGCCTATCAAGGCCGACCCTGTACCGTTCGATGGACTGCCCACTGTTCACTCGCTGTCATGGCAGTTGCAATATCCGCCCGGAGGGAGCACACACCCGTCATACCCATATCCTTCTCTGGACCCACGCCTTCTCTTTCATCAGGCCTTCGTCCCGATTATCGGCGGGTTGCCAGATTTTACCCTGGTTCAGAAGCTCGTGCTCCCTATGGGGTGGAAGCATGTCTCATGGTCTGGTCTCCTGCCCATCGCCTTCGACCCGTATCGTCAAGCGTTTAAGCTTACACCGGTTGGGCCTATGCCGCTTACGTGCGAGGAACTTCATCAACAAGGTCTCCACAAGTATGTACCAGGTGGCGAGCTGCACCCCGAGTATGGCATGTTGCCCGAAATGCTTAAGCTCAGCGATGGGAGTGACGCCGAGATCTTCAACTTCGATGGAACTGATTGGACATTGCCATGGAAGGGCCAGATCGACTTCCACGCCCCTTCCAATGCCACGAACGAGCAGCTCGGCAGCTATGAGATTAGCAACCCCATCGACTCCGATACCTTCGCGCCCGTAATCACTTATCCATGGAGCGAAGCCCGAGACTGCCCGGACAAGGTATTCGACATCTGTGATGCTTGGCGTTGGCTATCGTTCAAAGAGATGAACCCTGAGATGGACTTCATTCCCACACCCGGGATGAATTGGCGAGGAACCGGCGCAATACGATCCTTGCGTAAGTACAAGTTACCTATTCCTGAGCTGATGATGCTTGCCATGCCGGACCCGACTACATCGGAGAACAAGCATATTGTATTGCTTCAGAACCAAGATGATGGAGTCAAGGATAAGAACCAGTTTTGTCCATTCAAGAGTGTCGCGACATCCGTCATGGCCGACATAACCCTCCTTGGCGACACCGAGTTCACGATCATGGAGCTACTGTCGTATTTTCCTCAACACTACTACTGGGGTCATGCAGCTGAGCGATTCGTGAGGGCTGGGGTTACATGGAGCTTGGTACGGGACTCTCTCATTATGACACGAGGTCTTCAAGGCGATGAAGTCATGATGGCGAGTAGTATTTCTAATGCAGCAAAAGCTGCCAGGAAGAGGGATTGCGTCAAGGTCGAAGAGATGGACATTGATGAAGTTGGCAAGGATACACCGTCGCCCACGCTCACACCAGCTATCAACTCCACTATCGTTGACTTGACCTCGAGCTATACAGCTGAAGGGTGGACTTACGACGTATGTGAGAAGATCGACTACCCGCTGCTCGCCCTCGCGCACGGTTTGCAACTCTTGCCTACTGGTCTGGATGCCGGTCCGCTGACAGCACTCATACGCTGGTGCAAAGAGCAAGGTCGATACAAAGCCATGCTTAGCGAAGTTTCTGCGCTGCTGAAAGAAGCAGGCATTGAGCCACTGATTGAGCCGGGTGAGAACGGATGTCCGGATAAGGAATTTACAGGCAGGCACGCTGGGGCATTGAAGAAGGATAGGCTCAGGGTGGTTAGAGATGCGGGTGTCAACAAGAGGGCACTCGATGGCGGCGCTAGTGAGACTCAGGGAAAGAGGAGGAAGGCTGAGTAGACGGCCGGTAAGATCCTTCACATATTCTCTTCGACACGTGGCATAGAGGACGAGTGGCGACTGATTGGATCAGGTGACCGACGTCCTTGAATTGGTTCATCTGATACTGCCGTTACCTACATACATGTCGGCTTCTAAATGCCGCATAAGATAGGTAGCTAGTAGTAGGTATAGACTGAATGACGACATGACAACAAATCCTCAATGCATCGGAATACCCGGCAGCGGCCCAAGTCCACACTACACCTCGTCAGCAAAACTCCTTCCCCTCTAGCTCCATACTTACAGCAGGCGCCGGCGACGGGCATCCACCATTGGAGCTCATGTAGCAGCCCATCTCAGCAGCATGCTTCATCAAGCACTTCTCATTCGTGCTGAGCAAGTTCATCGGCACAATCGGCATAGCGCATTTGCATGGCTCTTTGAACGTCGGTGTCGGTTCTTTGTGCCTGTGACTATGCGTGCGGTTGTGTTTGCGCGTTCCACTGGGTGCAGGAGCGATGCTGGCTTGTGGTGCAGCCCACGGGTATGGTGTTGCGAGAGCAGCGGTAGCAAAGAGTACGGTCGTGATGAGCGTTGAGATGTACATTGTGGGCGGTAGAAACCTTTGGTATGTGTCGGAATGATTCAGATGGTGAGTGCTCTGAGATGCGGATAGCCAAGCTTCCAGGATTCTCTGCAGACGATCTGAATCTTGTAGGAACCGTGAACGCCACGCGGCAGTGGGCTTCTTCTACCGAGAATTTGCGATCCAGTACGCGGCGCAATATAGGTTGATGAAGTTCCATCTAATCATGCAGCGCCCTCGTCCAGTGATGCGCCGCCGGTTAAACACCCATATTTGGAAACGGAAGTGTGAAAGCGGCGATGAACAATAAAGATTTCTCGTTGCTCTTTCATTCTGATTGTCTATACAGATACGAATATCTGAACGTCGAGGATCTAGCGGATGTCTTGTTTCGCCTGACGCTGCCGGCGTTCTCGGAGAGGAATGAACGATTCGGTATATTCTAGGTTCGCTGGTCGTGATGTCTCTTAGTACTCACTGAATTACTACCGTCTCTTCATTATTGCCATTGTTTTCTTCGTCAGCTTCAAGCTCATCAGAGGCGAACTCATTATCCTGACCATAGGACCTGAAGCCCGCAGAACCAAAAGATGCGTTGGAAGCTACCCAACAAGCTGGTTCAGAGGGGTTAGAACGACCATGCCATTTCGAAGTATGGAGCTGTAACCCAATACTTCATCCCAGTTGGGAGTATGTAGAATTATCGGGTGTGTATTAACGGTCGCCCACTGTTCTCCGCGTTGCTGGCTCTGAGCGCAGTGTCGGAAGCTTGACGCGTCGCGTGAGCTCATGCCGCAATTTAGCGTGTCTTTGGCCTCTCTAGGCTCCAGGGCTCCAGCCATCTCATTTGGAGCATCCACTTCGCGGCCAGAACGCGCCACCCTCGTAGTCGGAAATGATGAAGTTTCTGCATGTGCCGTGCTTTTGGTACTGACGATGAGAGACCAATTTCACAGTTCCAGCTCCAAGATCGAAGACGTCATTCAGCAGGCGGGCCCGCAGATCCCACTTGCGCGGGCAACCGCACTGGAATACATGCTTTAGATGTCACGACTGGTCCATCGTACTCAAAACAACGATGCTGTAACGGCATGGGTGATTAAAAACAGTGACTACAATACATGCATATCTAAAAAAGAGAGAAACAACCAATTCAAACTTATCACTCCCCATCAATTCAACGTCGACTCGAGATTTTTCATCTCCCGTTGCAACCTCCCGTCATCCCTCAGATAGGTGAGTACATAAACCTCCTTTGCTGGGGGAGATATTCCCGCCACCTGTGGGCTTGCCTCGAATTGATCCTGTGTAAAAGTCTCTGTCACAGAATCAGAGATGCAAGTGATACGGCCGCCTGGGCCGCGAACACTCGCGATGTAGTGTCCACCTGCGCTCTCTGTGCCTTCGCCGGAGTGTGAGATGACACTAGATAGCCGGTAGCGGAGGGGAAGATGAGCATTCTCTTGATATTGAGTTAGGTCGAGTATGTTGGGGTGAGCCATGCGGTGGTTGATCTTGTGTTCCGTAGCAGGCTGCGGATTGCCTTTTTTGTCTTTCTTTTCCGACTTTTTCATTTGGAAGATGGCAAGTTTGATCTTCAGGATTTGAGGACCAGCTTGAATACTGGTCGTGACCAGATGGTTAGTATTGCTTGCACAGATAGCGCAGTGTATCGTTCTATGCTCTTGAAAAAATCTCGACAGCGCTGCGTTGAAAGTTGTTGTGGCCGTGGGAACATTTAGAAGGATGCCGGTTTCTGGAATCTTCGTAATGAGCCTTTCGTGACCACATGTCATACATCGGCCGTTCTCTTGTCTGTCGAGCTGGAATAGTGCGCGGAAGTCTTCTTCCCATTCTTGCGTCCTAGAACTGGTAAGTATGCATGTTGATAATTTACTAATGGGCGTTTACTCACTCACTGGCGACCTGCAAGCGCTGCAGAATCACCTGATAAAAGTCGTTAGAGTCCATCTGAACCATCGAACCGTTGGCGGCCAACTGCGCGACGTCACCAGCCAATGCGATTCCTTGTATTCTTGGCATGTCGGGGGCGACTGTGGCGTTGGGAGTGTTAGCCCAATAAGTGTTGACCAGCTCTCTCATCATGCATCCAGTACAATCTGGCACCGCATTACTGGTAGCTGCTCCCCAATACTGTGGAGGATTTGCATGACAGGCATTACGTATGTTACTGCCACCAGTGCCTCGTCTGGCCGGGCGATCATGATTTTGAAGCCAGTTCAGTAACTGGGGCTGATGCATCAGGGCCTGGAGCGCGGCGTTGATATAGCACCAGTTGGTATTAGTTGTGAAGCCTTTGCTTCTCTGTGGTCCAGCACGCCCACGCATAAGCCATCTCTTACTTATACGTGTTGCCTAAGCGATGATCAGTAAGAACAAAAAAGCTCGGGAACGAACATACTATGCGGTCCCGATTCTCCTGCAAGTCTGAACGAAGGCTAACACGCGCGTTAGCTGGAGTACCGGTTATAGCCGCCGGGATACGGGCGCTTCGTCGACTGCCCGCTGGGGCACTATATACCCTAGGAGTGGCCATCTTGGATGTGAAATTTCTGTAAGAATAGCTGAATTGACCTGAGGTTTGGAAAAGAAGACGATAGTGTTCACAAAGTACTGGAATCGATGACGGGAAACTGCGAGTTTAAAAGCCACAAGATGACCGCCACAAAGGAACAATGGATGGGACGTCAACCGCCATTGTCCTCTTGCAATCGTTTGACATGCACCCAAAGAAAGACGGAAGCGGACACGATGAATGCGATGTGACATGCCCTGTAGTTTCCGCAAGTCTGAAGTTGTCGCATCCAGTAGAATGGAGATAAGGACATAGCCCAGATTTCGATAACTTGAGTAGCATACACACAGCTTTCGTGAAGATTCATGCTAAGAAAAGCAATCAGAACGCTCAAAGCCTTAGGCTACAACATCTTGAGCAGAAAAATTCGTAGTTTGATGAGCGAGGCCGTCTCTTAGTCAGGGCGGAGAAAGAAAAGGGATGCATGCAATGCAAGCTTCAGCATCATCGCGTTCTGGGATAGGTGCTTGTTATTTTGCCAGACGTAGTGGTCAGTTTTCGATATCTGCCAGGTAGTTAAAAGTTGTCTCAACGCTGAGCCTTCACACGAGACGTTTTCATGACATTGTGAGAGGATGTCAGTGTAGAGCATGAAAGACGCAGCGCTCGAGACGCACACTCGCATGCCCACATAGCGTCTTGGCACCCCCTCCACCCCCCATTGGCCGTTTCTCCATCCGTCACCACACCACTCACATCAGCACTCCCTGCTGTGACATCTCCACTCACTATCGATGCAATAACCACCATGGCAACCTCAGAAACCCAAGGCGCAAGCTACGAGGCCGAACACGTGCACTCCGTCTACGAAGAAATTGCATCCCACTTTTCTTCCACTCGCTACAAGGTGTGCGTCCACCCGTCACAGATATTCCAAAACCGCATGCATGACTAACGCGAATGCTAGCCCTGGCCCATAGTCGAGCGTTTCCTAAAAGAACAGCATGATGGCGCTATAGGTGCAGATGTCGGATGTGGGAATGGGAAGTATTTGGCTGTGAATAAGAAGGTATGGATTGTGGGTAGTGATCGGTATGTTCTAATCATTTGTTCACTGGGTTGACTATCCTACGACAAGTAATGCTTTTGTCCCTGAAATTTAACGTCGATACAGATCTACAAACCTTGTCAAAATTGCGAAACAACATGAACCGCACGATGTAGTGGTGGCAGACAACCTCTCTCTGCCTCATCCAAATGGAGTTTTTGATTTCGCAATTTCGATAGCGGTTATCCATCATTTGTCGACGCCGGCACGGAGAGTAGAGGCTGTGAAGTGTGTTTTGGATTTACTGCGGCCTTCGTCACCGTCGAACCAAGGTGGAGGTGCTGGACTGGAGGGTGGCAGAGCACTCATCTATGTCTGGGCACTTGAACAGAAAGACAGTAGACGAGGTTGGGACGAGGGCCATGAGCAGGACGTCATGGTGCCGTGGGTCTTGAAGCAGAAGAAAGAGACGGAGAATGGGCGGAGGAATAAGAAGGATGAGAGTCAGGCTGACGAGGAAGGGACACCGAAGCCGGATGGTGATAAGACGTTCTTGAGGTATTATCATCTGTATCGGAAGGGGGAGCTGGAAGGGGATGTTGAGCAGGCTGGTGGAGTTGTATTGGAGTCGGGGTATGAGAAGGATAATTGGTGGGCTATTGCGAGACTCAGATGAGCATCTCAGTGATATTTACTTGTGCTATACCTCAAACGTCAACGTGCAGCACCTCTAAGTGTGGTCTACTGCTTGCAGCCTGGTGCCTTCCAATTGCGCATGGTGATCTTACGCCTTTGTCAAGTCTACAGGCAGGGCGTGACTGCTCTCAGTCAGCGGAAAGAGCTGATAGTAGAAGCCCAGAGCGCCTGCTACAAGCACAATGTAATAGGCCACGGTCCATCCAACACCCCTGCCTTTATACAGTGGGACGCTCTTCTGCTCATCATCCTTCTTGTCAACGTCTGGCGGTCCGATGGGACTGCCGGCTTCGACACCCACACGGCCGTAGAACCGCGGAAGGCCCATCCAGTTGCAAAAGGTATGCGCTATCATGCACGTGAATACATTTCCGGTTCTTATGAAGACAAAGGCTGCGAAGAAACCGAAGAGCGACGTGTATGTGAACTGGAAGAGTGAGCGGAGCACGGCGACGAAGAACGGGACTTCAGAGTGGGTTATGCGGAACTCGTAGAGGTGGTGGAGATGCGCGATGCCGAAGTACAGTGGCGTGAGGAAGACGATCTGCTTGCCGGAGAACTGCGCGAGGACATGGAGGGGGATGATTAACGAGCGCCACACGACTTCTTCACTAACGGGGCCCTATGCAGGTTAGAATAGGGAGAGGTGGACTGGAGTAGATGACCTACGACTATGTAGTTCCTGTATCCGATCCAGCTGCTCAGGGTCTCGTGGACGCCCTTTAGTTTGATCCAGTCTCTCCAGTCACCGTCTACAATGCCATGCTCGAAGATAGGACCCGCGAAGAGGATGGTCACCAGAAGCATGGTCCGGAAGGTATCTACAAGTGAAACAGGCCAGATGCCAAGCAAACGGATGATCTCCATGGCCGATGCGTCATGTTGGTACAGTACAACGATGGTGAGGACGGAGCATAGGACGGTGGAAAAGGTCACTGCGCGCACCCGGGCGCGTATCGACGACGGCGCATCGCGCGTAAGAGTCGGAGAGGGTCGCGTGGCGGGCGACAGGTAGAAGGGGATTACGTAGATGAAGACATAGGCAGCCTACAGGCGTGGGTGTTAGCTACTTCAGCATGTTTGGCGCGTGCGGTGCCATTGGGTGAGAACAATGGCAATGGTGGTGGGGAGCAAACATGAAACGTACCGACAGAAGCGCCGCAACTCTCGACGAAAGAACAGGCGGTTTGGGAACTGGCACCACGTTAGACCTCATGGCGATGTTTCGACAGGAAAGCGCAGCAGAGTTCGTCCGATGTGGGTCGCGCAGGCGTTTAGGAGGGTTTGAGGTGGAGGAGCGCCAACTTACCGCCCTTGACATGTCGCTGGTACAAGTCTTCGAGCGCACTGAGCTTGTCGCGCCAGCCGTTGAGGGGGGGAGGCATGGCGAGGTGTTGCAAAAAAGCAGCCGCACGTCAAACGCACTACAGGAGAGGCAGGAAAAGAATCATGGGCGTTGTTTATAGCTGCACGAGATCCCCCCGCGTTGTCGCGCGCATCTTGTTGGCGCAGCGCAGCCTTTCACCTTCGATACCCCGCCAAGCCCCATCGGTCACGCTGGATCACGTGCCCCGATCGTCCGTTCCCTCGTCTCGGCTCCTGCGACTCGCGCCATCAGCGCCCACGACGTCTTAGCACGCCCTCCCGCGTTACCCCTGCAGCACGCACAACCAAAGGCCCACTGGCCAGCCTCTCTGCCATTCAACGGCTAGTCCGCCACGCTGCGCGTCGTCACTGGCCCGTCCCAAAATATAATTTCATTTTAAACGTTCAACCGCGACGCGCTTCTCCCGATTGACTAGGAAGGCTGTTCGACGAGGGTTCCCCAGGCGCGTCGCAGTGATCGCACTCCCAGGTGGACCGCGCATCCAGCAGCTCATATCATCTTGTCGACCGGTATAGGCTAGACGAAAGTCATATTGTGCGAATTGGGTCCATCTCTGTACAAGTCATCATAAGTCGCGGGTCGTGCTCCAGACTGGCCGGGGCTGAGCTGTCAATTGGATCGCTCCTGCAGCGCGAACCTGCTTCTGCATACAGCCACGAACCCTCTTTAGGCCGAGCTGCTGCCAGACGCCCGCCGTCCTCACCTCACCACCACTCCTCGTCCTCCCTCCCTCGATTCTTCATACCGTTAATGCCTGCGGGCCGCCATTCTTTTTGATATGTTTTAGCACTTTTGTCACTCTTTGACTATCTTCACCTACTGTCTTTACGTCCTCTTTTTACTGCCTTTTTATCCATACCCCGTCATTAATGATCGGTTTCGACTTCTCCGCCCGCGTTTACCACCAGTCCACATTTCGGCATCCTCGGCCCACACCACCACCACAGCATGTCCTCACAACAACGCAACAGTCGCGCAGACTCACAAAACGCACTCGAAAAAACACTCGCACAAGGTCCCCGATTCGACCCGCCGCAGTCGCAGTCAACAAACACGTCTCCTATCCGCAAGCCGCTTCACGAACGCTCAAACTCGCAAACTAACCGCGACTCTGGGTCAACCATCCGCATTGTTCAAGATCCCGGACATGACATCTATCAGAAATATCCCGTACCCAGCGAACCCTCGCAAATCCTGCCCCCACCCCGTCATGCGCCGGGTTATGGCTTTGAAAGGCCGGGATCTCGTGTTTCAAATAGCAGCCAGGTCGCCAGTACCATCGCAAAGTTCGAGGCGAGCCGAGCGCGAACACCACAGCCTATCCTGTCACGGAAGAAGGGTTTCAGACATTCGGGCTCCACTAGCATGTCAGAGGAAGATACCCTCGTAGCATCCTCTTTTACGCCATCGTCTTTAAGATTTTCCCAGGGGAGCACTGCCCCATCCTCACCCCCACCGGAATTAGAAGATGAACCAAAAGGCCTCGAGGTACTTGAGGAGGTCGTCTCCTCACAATCTACAAGGCCAACTATCCGGGCTGTTCCTCCCTCTTCTTCTGGAGGAGATTCCGACCGTGCATTAACGCCTAAGGCCTCTGCTGCATCTTTTGCTTCACCTGCTCCTACCACCACACCACGCCCAATTAGTAATGCCGGAAACTCGTCAAGTGTCAGTTTCGGTCGACCGTTACCAGAAGTTCCCCAAGGCCCAGCGGCAACCGAACGTCAAGCTAGGGGGCCTGCTCTCACTTGTGACACTGACTATCGACAACCTGTATTGCATCCTCAACAAAGTACAGAGTCGTTCACGTTTTCTGATATTTCCTACACCAGCATCGAACCAACACATACGTTAGCTTCGTCGCAGCCATCGCCATCTCTTCATGAAGCCAGCACAGCATCCTTCGCGAGCGGAATCCGAATTAATTACCCCGTCGTACGCGCGCCGTCCGGCACTAGCTCGCGAGCCGAATCCCAGGACGCGCCCAACATCGCATCCCGGATGCACGACCCGTCGCTGGTACATCACTGGAGCTCCCAGTTGTCAACAATCGCCTCCGTTTCCGAACGCGATTCGCGATCCCTCGCACGAAACTCCCGGTCGCTCGGCGCCAGATCACATTCACAAGAAAGCTATGCGGGCAACGGTCGAACAGCGATTCCACGCCGGAGGGGACAGACAATTGGGAGCGCACAGTCGTCGTCGGACAATGTATCGTCGGAAGGTCATACCGAGTTCTCTGCAGTGCCAGTGCCCCGGCCGCTCTTCTCTCCTACGACAAGATCTTCATCCGATGATAACAGTGAACACATGGACACGATCTCGCCGCTGCCTACATCGATCCCTCTGCGCATGAAGAACTCGGGGTACTTGCGCAACAGAGCCAATAGTACCGATGCAGTATCGATGAGCGACGAGCGACCTGGATCCTCTCAGTCGCATATGTCGAGATTCATTGCAGACAACATTCCAGCTTGGGCAAGGGTTTACTACCAAAAGGGAGAACGCATCTCAGTTGGAGCCCCGGAATCCGAGTCTTCTGAGAGCGTACGGCTGGGAACCGCCCACAGCGGACGATCGCGCACCCCTTCAGAGAGCAACTTCCCACTCAGCATTTACCGACCACGGAACCGACCGAGGAACAATTCAAGGAACCGCGCTTCACACGCCGATACTGTCTCGCTAGCAGACGACGTTCACTCGATTGACGGAGCAGTATACGCAGTCGGACCTCACATGTACCCGCTCAGCGGTTACTCAACACCGCACCTCCGGACCGATCGGAGAGGACAATTGTACAGCGCTTGGAACGCACCATCACTGGACGATGACGTTCATGCCACACTCTTCGGGCGCCAAAACAGACAGATCCTGCTTTTCTGTATAGGATTCCTGTTCCCACCTGGTAAGCCTTAACCCACGAGATACCACCGTATGAATGAAGACATGTACTAATCAGAAATACAGCTTGGATAATTGCCGCGTTCCTTCCTCTACCCCTCGACCCCAACGCTGTTGGTACCCCAACCGCCAGCCAGGCCGACCTGGAACAGCAATTCGCCCAAGCGATGGGGCCCGCCGACGACAAGTCCTTCCAGAAAGCAACTTGGTGGCGCAACCTCAACCGTGTCATGTCTGGAGTTGGCACGCTCCTGATCGGCGTCATCGTCGCGTTGGCCATTCTCGCATCGCGCATGTAATGAGTGATACCCACTCCGCAGTCCAGCGAACCTCTCCGACCGTCCTCTTCAGGCCGAATCCCACAATTTACACCCGACATTTGCACGCGATGCATTTGCATAACGAACCATTTACGATCATAATCATGCCATCACGCAAGTGTTAATGTTTTTCTGGCTCAGGCACACGACATGAACGCTCTCCTCGATATCTACTTCGATCTCGTTTTGGGTCTACTGTCTAGGCGCAGCCGCTATTGTACATTTTTCACTTTTCGATTCTCCACGCGTATCGTGTACGGCATGCTGCAGTTTAGCGGGCGTTCTCTTTTTGCTGCTTGTTCTAGTGTGACCGAAAGCGTATTACCCATTTGCTTTGCCCAGTTTGGCGCCATCAGCCACTTTACAATACTATTATCTTCATGTTCCATACCTGTTGCTTGTCACCTGTCAGTTCGTCTTGGAAGTTTGATGTGAGGCAAGGGTGCCTGTCGCGGTGGCTGGGGATCTGAAGCATAGCGGCCAACCGTGCGCTGCTCCTGGATAATCTCGCTGTGGTTCGAGCTTGACGAACTATATGATCTTGTAATTATAGTCATGCGTCCTACGTCAGCTGTACGATGAGACGTCAATATAACGAATACCTTCTCTATGCTATCGCGTCTTCCATTGATCATCGCAAGGTTGAACCTGAGGAGTTGGGCGCTTCACTGCGATCAGCCGGAAGACTACGGGAGTGTTATGACATGTGTCATGTGGAGCTTCACACCGTGCACTTGAGCAAAGCCGGTGCTCTGATCAGGTATCGACCACACCGATGGACTTGAGTCGCCTTTGAGTAATGCTCCGAAAGTCTATCACAAGGTTTCGTGGTCGTTGCTAAGCAATGCGACCGGTTGCCATGAGGCTGCAAGTCGGGCGAGGCTACAGAATGGGCGAGTGCACAGCCAGATGTCGCAAAGTGAAGGGATGTGGCTTGCTTCACGATGATGGACGTGCGATCCCAGCGACACGTCGAAAGTGCGCACGGTGACTGGTATGAGTCGCATCACGTCGAGATGAACATCGCATCTCATCTGACGCAGTCGCCAAGTGATGACTCTTCACTTCCACAGTCACGGCTGTACCAGCGCCAACATCGAGAAAGCAGTGGCGAAGGGACCCGGTGGACCCTCCCAGTATGCAGGGTTCGGTTCACTCAAGATGAGTCGAAGGAGCTAGGCCCAATCCAGTAGCGGGGCTTATGATGTCGCTCTTTACAAAATAGTCCCGCCTTCACAGTTTCTGCAGACTTCACTCACAAGCTCACTATCCACGTACTAAAGACCCTTCTTTTTCTTCTCCACTCCCCACAGAGCCTCACACACACACTCGACGTTCAACTCAATCATCATGGCTGTCCGCGCCCAGTTCGAAAACTCAAACGAAGTCGGTGTCTTCGCTACCCTCACCAACGCGTACGCGATCGTCGCAGTCGGCGCGAGCGAGAACTTTTACAGGTGCGCATAGATCTGTAGCTCTTCGCGGGTTGTTACGGCATGGCGACATGCTATGCGACCGTGGCAAGCAAACCCTGCGAGAAATTAGTACTGACGGTGGCGCAACAGTGTTTTCGAAGCCGAACTCCAAGATGTCATTCCCATCTGCCACGCCACCATTGCGGGAACCAGGATCATCGGCAGACTGACCGCTGGGTACGTTCAAGTCTTGCGATAGCTTGCGCTATGCGACACACGCGTCAAGATAAAAATCTAACAAGTGCATAGTAACAAGAAAGGCCTCCTCGTGCCCACCACAACCACAGACCAAGAACTCCAGCATCTCCGAAATTCCATACCCGACGAAGTCAAGATCCAGAGGATAGAAGAGCGACTATCAGCGCTCGGCAACGTAATATGTTGCAACGACCACGTCGCTCTCGTACACCCGGATATAGAACGCGAAACAGAGGAGATCATAGCCGATGTGCTGGGTGTGGAGGTTTTCAGGCAAACCATCGCGGACAATGTGCTCACAGGAAGCTACATGGCTCTGAGCAATCAGGGTGGTATCGTGCACCCAAAGACAAGCATTCAGGATCAAGACGAGCTGTCGAGTTTGCTCCAAGTGCCGCTTGTCGCTGGTAGTGTGAACCGCGGTAGCGCTGTCGTTGGTGCGGGTATGGTTGTCAATGACTGGATGGCCGTCACTGGTGCGTACAAGTCTTCAGAATGTCAACAAAAACATGGGCTAATCTCAATATCTAGGTCTTGACACCACAGCGACTGAGCTCTCCGTCGTCGAGTCTGTCTTCAGGCTCGGTGAGGGCAACGGCCCTTCCAACATCAACACTACACACAAGGACGCTATGGTCGAGTCATTCTACTAGATCACGGTTCTTGGTCAAGATTTCATGTCTTACTCCACTCGCCATTGAGCCCAGTGCGCTGCTGAAAGAATCACGATTTGGTCCCGGGTCAAGAAGTGCCATGAGGCACTCGCCCTGTATAGGGTCGGGATATTGGATATGATGTTATCACGGAAGAGCACAGGTTCAAAAATATCGTTACGCTGGTACCAGACTGTCTGAGTAGCTGGAATGTCTCATGATAGGGTACTGATGCGACCGCACGTAGATTCAATGCAGATATGCTAGGGAAACAACGCTAAGAGTAGCGCGAGGTTCTGTCCATTCAAGTGACCTCATCTGCTCACACAATGAAGATTGGAAATCATGCGGCTAACCGAGTGTCTCGTGTCACTGGTGTTGGTACTTATGCAGGTACCTTCACCCGCAACCCTTGGTAGGGCTGGAGGCGGTGGATACTTTCTGCCGACGCTAGGACATCATCATCGTCTACGAAAGTCGCTTTGCGCCAACACTCTTTCACCAGCCCGCGTGGGTGCACAACACTTACAGAAACCTATCCTCTACTGCTCAGGGGCATCCAAACCTCGTCGTTGTTTTTACCGCCGCCACTTTCCATTAGAAACCCTCCACTCGCCCTGCCACTCCAACCCCACCGCGACCACATCATGTCGAACCCCAACTCAACAGCGCTCACGAAGCGTAGCGCGTCGAATGCGCTCATGCCACCGCCTCCCGCACCGAAACGTATAAAACGTCCCTCTGTAGTCCTAGACGAGGATACCTATGTTTCCGCCGTTTCGCACATCATTCGCCGCGACTTCTTCCCAGGGCTAGCGGAAGCCGACGCCCAACGAGAGTACCTGAACGCGGTGGAGAGCAAAGATCGATCATGGATAAGAGAGGCTGGCAAGAAGCTCACACAGGTCATGACGCCGGTGCCGAGCGGGCAAAGAAAGACGGCAGCGAGAACGAGGTTCGACAAGGCAGGCGGCGCTGGCGATAAGACTCCAAGTGTTTGGGGCGCGGACACACCCGTCACGGTCGCTGGAACGGAAGTCGAAGACGAGGATGAGGGCCTAGGCAAACTGGACAATGTCGACCTGAATATGAGCCTAGGCGCATTCCAAGCAAAGTACACGAGCGAAGACCAGGAGAGTTTCAGTCAGATCATCGACAAGCAGAACAAGGCGCGATTCGAGAAGAACGTCTGGCTCCGCGAAGGAAACATGTACGCAAGCAAACAGCGCATAGCACAACAAAAAGTCCTCGAAGCCCGCGCCGCCGCATCCAAAGGCAAGGAAATCGTCCTCAGCACAAAACCAAGCCAGAACCTCGACGAGCGACCCGCAGCGCCCACCGGCCATCGCCACACCGCCCTAAACAGCTTCATGTTCGGCCCGGACAGTGTAGAACAATGGGCACCAACGCGCGCCCAAGAAGCCGAGAACACATCTCTCGCGCCCCCAAAGAAAGTCCTCTACAACAATACGCGACTCCCCGCCCCCGAAGCCGAGCCTCCTCGCCCGTCCAGCCCCACTCTCTCCGCCGTCCGTGATGCCGTCGCAGGACGTCCGCGTCTCAATCCCAGCGAGGGAGGATACACAGGCAGCGAAACACCCCGCGTAAACGGCTACGCCTTTGTAGACGCACAACCGCCTTCCCCTTCCTCAGAAGACGACGACGCGCCAACCGACCTCCTAGAACGCTACGGTCTAGATAGCAGCAGCACAGCGACACCCTTCACGATAAACGACTCCTCCTCGCGCGAGAAGATGCATCACAGGATGGTCGACAAAATCGGTGCGAAACGGTCGAATCCACACACTCAGGCAAAGCCAACGGGATCGGGCTTGGGCATATTTACGAGCGAGACGCCGAGGTTTTTGAGTGCGCCGACGCCTAGGAGGGGCGGGGCGGCTGCTGCTGCTGTTGGGGGAATGACACCTGGGAGGAAGGCAAAGGGTGATTTGACGCCGGCTGCTCAGAGACTGTTTGAGAGGATGGGTGGGGCGACGCCGAGGGGTGGAGGAAGTGCTGGATTTGGGGGCGAGGGGAGAGGGTCGGGGTTGGGGAGGGAGTGGACGCCTACGCCTAGGATGAAGAGGAGGGCGTAGAGTGAAGGAACGGATTTGTGCGAAGTGCTCGTGCAGATATCGTGGGCGGGATGTAGTGTAGTATTAGTGATACCCAATTTTACATATACCTTCTTTCAAATGAAGCATATATATCTTCAAGTTAACATCAGCAAACCAGTCATGAGCAAATCACATAATGAAAGATGACGAAACCATGCATGTAACCAGTTGAATAAACCTTTCTACCTAAACAACGCACCCACACGCAAGATCCTGCGCAAACCGCCCAGGGTATCCAATTGGAAAAGATGCTACAAACAAGGAGGGGGCTATGCAAAACAGAAAAACACGTGTATAACAAGATGGTACAACGCCAATGCAGCTAAGAAACATGCAAATGCCCGTTTATCCAAGAAAACAAAAACAAGAGGTTCCTCGCTGTATGCAACCCTTTTCCCTGTACAAGATGGGCAGAAAAGAGAAGGAGAAGGTAAGGAAAAGATGAGACTAGTAGCGAAGGGCATGTGGGATCGTAATGTACAATTAGTGGTGCGTCATTCAGCCGCCTCTCCTCCGCTGTTCTCCGGGACCTTGGTAGCTTCGGAATTGCGTGCCGGGGGCGTGATAGCTTCTGTACTGCCGTCTAGGTCTTGATTGTGAATCTGAAGACCGGTCACCGTTACTCTGAGAGTGTGCTTCGCGTTGCTCGTATTGCATCGGTGGGGGATGGGGATGCGTTGGAGAGTAAGCTTGCTGCTGCTGCTGCTGCTGCTGCTGCTGTTGTTGGTGCTGAGGAGGAGGAGGCCCCTGTTGTTGCGGTGGTCCAGATTGGCCGATGAAGGGTAGAGGCGGTGGTCCGCTATGTGGGGGTGGTGCCATGTTTGCGGGGAGTATGGGTTGACCGCCGTACTGGTGGATCTTGAGTGGTTGGTATGGAGCCATGGAGGAGGGCGGTGGCGGTGGTGCTTGGAAAGATCCTGGAGGTGGTATGTAACCGCCTTGGTAGGATGGAGCGCCGCCGTATGCTGGTTGGTATGACGGTTGTGGCGGACCCTGTGGCGGATGTGAGGCGGGTGGGTAGCTTGGTGATTGCGGTGGATACGGTTGGCGTGGCGGCGCAGGATCATAATGCGCAAAACGGAAGTTGATCGGCGGCGCTGATGGCAGTGGACCAGGTGGCTTTGGAGGGAGTGGCAACGATCCTGACGGTGGTGCATACGGGCTTTGATGTGTTGGTGGAGTTGGGCCTTGCTTATGTTCCCCGTAGTGAGGCTGGGGAGCATGGGCCTGATATGGCGATGCTGCCGATTGTTGGGACACTTGATGGCCACTCGTCCTCCTACCATGTTGTTCCCATGGCTGAGGAGCTTGTTCATGGGATTGCCGACGCGAATGATAACTACCCGGTAATGCATCATACAGCCCAGTAGATGGCCTGGTCGGATCATATGCCGCGACTTCTCCTCGGTCTTGGGTGTTTATGCTCGGGAGCATCGAGTTTCTCCAGTGAGCAGGAGCCTGCCTGTAGTGAGAACGGTCTGGAGGTTCTCGACCAAGCTCGCGTGCCTTCCGGTCTAGAAGTTCCCTGATCTTTTGCAGAGGATCCCGACGACGTAAGGACTCGTCAGACTCTCGTGACTGGGGTGGCACACTCGGGTGTTGCCACGATTGAGTGTTCGATGGGGGTGACGACGGTGGGTTGCTCTGAGGCGGGCCACTCAACGCGTCCATCAGTGCCTGGTCAATAGGTGGCTCTTCCTTGTTCATGACAGCGTCTACTCTGAGAGCATCGCTCCTAGATGGCGTTTGAGGATGTATGGAAGATTCCCGCATTGATGGTGTGCTGGGTTGCTGAGTTGAGGATTGCGATTCCCTTGTCCTCGAGACTGGGACTTCTTGATCGTCATTGAGAATATCCATGATTCTATGTGTGGATAACCTTGGAGTTGTCTTTGCAGGGGCCTCAGTCTCTTTCGTTGACGGTGCAGCATTGGGCTCCGAACGGGAAACATTTTGAGTAAGATCCACTGCCACCTGGGTAACTTTGGGCGGACTGCTATGCGCAGCTTGCGACGGCAATCCTAGTGGCATGGCTGGCTGTGCGAATTCCGGCGACTTTTCTCGTACAAACTCTTGCTTGATAACCGGTGTTGTCGCTCGCGGCGGCGGTGGGGGCTGCTGACGAGGATCTGGGTAGTGGTATTGAGGTTTTGGAGCGGCAGTGGTACGCGGCTGATGTGCTGATATATCTGCAAGCATCATGAGCAGAGCAGCATGCTCATTTGGAATGACCTCAATCGCCTTTGGTTCTGGTTGTGGTGTTGGCGTCCTTTCGACTTCGATGGCAGCATCAGCGAGGCTCGCAATGTTGTAATGCGCAATAGCTTCGGTGCGATCTGGGCCGTCAAACTTGGCGAAGCCACCAGCTACGTCCTCAATCGAATCATCAGCCTCTTCATCATTCTCAACAAAGGCAACTCGTGCTGCAGTGAACTTCCGTCGTACTGAGTCGTTCTCAAGTTCCTTGTCCGCCTCAACGTAAGCCCTGCTCCGTGAGGCGAACTTTGATCCGATGCGATAGTCTTCGGCATGGTGAACTTCGTCGCTGAATGTTGGCGGAAGGATGTTATCTTCATCGTCTGTGGCATCAGCGTGTTGGCTCTTCATCTCCCGCTCCAGCTGCTTCGCGCGGAAGAATATCTGGAGCATAAAGTCATCCTGAAGTTCCCGGAATCGATTGACGTATTGCTCTCGCTGAATGTGCTCCTCGGCGACGCGGATGCGCTCTAATTCCTCGAGTCGATATGTGCGCAGGGAATTGATCTGGTCCAGACGCGAGTCGCGGCGTTGGTCCAGCTGGGCCATGACGGCTTCGTACTCCGGACATTTCTTGTGATACTGGGGGTCATCTTCAAGATTCTTCGTAGTACGGTTTGCCAACTCTTCTAATAAAGCCTTTTGCACCTTTGCAAGACTGCGGTAGCTCATCTTAAGATTGAGCTGTCGGCGCAAATCAGTCTCCACATTGATGTCCGGATGCGGTTGGCGCCGACGACCGGGCAAACGCCTGCCGGACTTTGCAGGGGCATCGCCATTGGTCGGCAGAACGTTCTGAAGGCTTTGACTGCCGTCAACATCTGGAACCTGCTCAGGTGAGTTGGGTGCAGTGCTAGCATCAGTTAACTCAGGAGGTTGGTCGGCGGCGGTGTCGGTTTGCGATTCTTTTGTTTTGCGCTTTTTGCGCGGTTGTTGTTCGGAGACATCGCTTTGGGTTCGGGTGAGAACTCCGTTTGGACGTGTTTTGCTGGACTGTGATGAATCGTCTGATGCGCGTCTCCTCTTTGCTGCTGTTTTTGGTGCCGTTGAAGTCGCACTAGATGCAGGTTTCTGAAGCTCTGGAGTTTGAGTGCCATTCATGGGTGTGTTGTTGTCGAATGAGCCATTGGATCTCTGCGGCGAACCAGAATCGGACGATGTTCGGCTGCGCTTGGCTGGTCGCGCATCCTCATGGTCGGGAGTTGCATCCTCGTTTTGCGCGTTTTCATCCAGAGAACTACGACGGCTGCCAGAGCTTGCGCTAGATGGGCCAGCCGAGCTCGTGTGGTTAGACGTGCCTTTTGCACCGCGACGCGTTGTCATTTGGAACGGTACTGAAGGAGCAAGGCGAGATGTCTTCGAACCCTGAAGACTACTTCGCTTATTAGACAATGCGCTAGCGGCTATGCCAAGGTTAGCATAACCCTATAGGGAGCATCAAGAGGCAATTGTAGTAGGCTTGCGGACTTACGCGGTGCCTTCAGAGGGCTGTTAGAGATGACCTTTGTGCCTTTGAACTTTCGTTTCGGCGGCATTGTCGTTGTGTGAGACCTGTAAGCGGAGACCTGGACGAAGCAGCCGTTAGCCTGGAATCATAACATGATGAGAGGGTGGCGGAAACTCGAACCGAACTTCGAGTATGCGATTGGGTACTTACGGGTCCAAGATATGGTTTTGGGTGGGTTTCTGATATTGTCACCCTCCTGTGGGGTAGGTAGTAGAGTGGTGGTAGCTGTAAGCAAGACGTGTCAGCATATGGTCGTCGCGATCAGTAGCAGAAAGCAAGTGGGCGATTCCATCGTTCCCTGAACTGCTGGACCCGTGGATTGTTGAAATTCGTGCGATGGTTTTGCGCGACGTGAGTGCTGGGTGTGAAGTACTTACTATGACCAGTCGCCTTAGTGAGCGCGGTGACTTGCTTGACAGCGTGACGCGAAGTCCGAGTCAAGGATCCGTAGACTCATGAATCAATCTTGAGGTAGTCTACAGCCGTTTCGATATTTTTACACGCGATTTGCTTGTAGAGGTCGAGGTTGCGGGTGCTCGCAAGACAGAAATAACCCTGCAGAAGGAATGCTCCGTGTGGCACAGTCGAGCGGAAGCGCTGAGATGACTAGATGCTGAGAAATGTCAGTATAAGGAGATAGCGCAGAAAGCGCACTTGTGAAGCAGCAACAAGAGGTTGGCGAGGGTGTTGGAAATCGTGTTGATCCGGCGCATGAAGATGAAGCTCTTGTGAGATCCTTGGTCAGACCTGGCGCCTTGCCCGATTGGGATCTGAGTCCACGAATGACAGCGCCCGTGAGCTCTTCACCTGCAACAATCGCAACGCGTACTGTACAATAAGATCCGTACATTCACGCAGTCGTCATGCGACTCGGATCCAAGTGCTACTCTACAGCAATTACCATGGCTGCTGGCCACTATTGACGGCGCTGTTGGTTCTGCGCCTCGAGCCTTCCGGTGCAGCACGCCAGCCGAAGAGGGCAATGACCCAAATTACGTGCATCACCCATCGTCCCTGCCGCCACCGTGTCCCGCCACTTCAAGTCATCGCATCTGCCTGTTACAATGTCCATCGCAGCACCACTCTCATGCGCTTCTCACGAAGCATTCGGCGTACTTTCTGGAAGCTTTCAAGTTGCTTCATCCAGGTTTCACGTCGCACGTCATTAGCCGCAGCGCTAGACGGGACGATCCTCCCGAATCGTCACCATTGCCCCTGCCCCCTTCACTTGAAAGTTGCAACGCAAAAACGAACATGAGGTGTACTTGAAGTCAAAAAGACCTATGCTCTCGCCTCTTGCTACTGTTCTCTAACAGTGTTTATCGGAGCCGCATGCCTTGTGGTGAAGGGTGCGGCGCAGCATGCATGCATCCGTCGCGTCGTATTGCATGGCTTGGGGACGGGACTTTGAACAGGTAAGGGGGTTTCAAGACAGGCTGTTCTGGACTTGGTTTCCTATCCTGGAAGCTTGCCAGGCGAGCGCAGTGTTCGTACTGTTCGAATGCAGACACAATTTCGCGCATTCTCCTCTTCACTGAGAGAAGCCAGAGGCGTTGATGTCGCGTGTGACCAAAAGGACAAGCGGATCGGCGGTCAGCGTAGAGCGCGCCACAACACATGAGCAACCATCAAACGCGTTACAACTCACACGACTGCGTATAGCGTCTTATTCATGATAGGTGTGATTTCCTTGGGTTAGACGTTATTGTAGAATCTCTGATTACTCATTCATTTACTTCCACGGCACCAAGTTAACTACCAACTGTTCGCCAACTGTCTCACTCAAACTCTCGACGCTTACTTTCGCTACAACAACCAATGGCGGTCCAAGTTGGTGTAATGGACTAGTTGTGGTGTGGTTAACTGTCTGTCCTCTTTGAGAGTCTTTACATTGTGATAGTCATAAATCGCACCAGTTGATGGCGTCTCAAACTGATTACAAGGCTAATACACCAAAGTATGAAGCCAACAAACACGATGGGAATTGCAGCACAGCCTTGCGCACACCACAATGCATGCCAAAGTAAGTTCAGAATATTCCAATACAACGACGATCTTGACGAATCCGTACTTTCCACAGAATCACCAACGATGATAATTCTCCGACAAGATACCCCAAGTATCACGCCCCATGTCTTCAACACCACTGCACCCATCCAATAGTCCCCCAATCCAACAAACCATATATACGAGGTATCTCACCCCGAACCTAAACACACGATAGACTCCCCTCAACACCACCTCCCGCTCCCGCTCTTACTCATCACCACAGCTCCATCTCGGGCTCTGACCCGTCCGCTCGTGCACCCACACACCCTTTTCCGCAAACTCCGGAAGCCGCGCGCGTGCGTCAGGGCAATCACGCCCGAACTCGTCATCACATAAGGTTCAATCTCCCCGCATGCTCGCCAACAACGAAGAACATTCGGCCGGTAGGTTTAAATGAAATGAGGCGGCTGTATACGTACCATGGTCAGCGGGGATCTCCCTCGTAGAATGGGAAGTTCGGCTAACGGTCGACCCTGACTGGCCCGAAGTGGGGCAGGGTAGATACTTCATGTTGCGAAGGGGGGTCATGCTGGCATCATGCATGTTCTGTAGTAAGGGAAGGGCAGTGGTTGTCAGTCATGTAGCGTCGTTGCGGGAAGGGAACTGTTGGAATACGACAGGTGAGGCTGAGGGGTTCCGGGTCCGGCAGAGAAAGAAAGTTTCTTCACAATAATGCGAATTATGGTTTGCTGGACAGAAGTATCAAGGAAAGAAGATGCTTGTAGATTACAAATGGTGATGATTTTTGTTGTATTGATTTTGGGTATAACGACTTGCAGCCTTGCGGCCTAACCTCGTCTTCGATTCTTCTCCTTCCCGTCCATTCTTGTCCGGGTTTTTTCTAGCTTTCCGTCTTGATAGTACGCCTGACTAGTTGACCAGCAAATAGTTGTATATGGAAACAATAGAATACTACGACTATACATAACGAAATGGTGATTGTCCGCTCGAACAGCCCTATTTGCTGGAGCCCAGACCTGATGGAAAAAGAGTCGCGATGCAGAAACGCTCAACGCTCGATCGAACCCCCGTGAGGGCGAGAGCTAGTGACAGAATGGAAATGTGTAACATGAATGGGTATACCGAAAAGGTATGAACAGTGTAAGGGAAATCGTATCGTACAAACGTAAGAGACATTACATCTTTCACATAATATGCGTGACATGAAGGAAGTAGAGGTAGTACTCGACGTGATGATCTATCATCGATCAGGGGAGTACTGGAGAGCGACGCGGCGGGAGCCGCTCATGCTGCTTCGGGGGGAGGAGTTGAGCACGAAGTCGGGGATGGGAGGTGTCATTTCGCGGCTGGGGGGAGATGGGCTCCTGGACTTTGATTGGAGGCTTGCTGAGCGTTCACGGGTGAAGCTTCTGGCTTGGTGGAGAGAGGGAGGGCCCATGGCGGTTTGACTCAGATTGCTGTTCGACCTCATCCGACTAAATGATCGTGGCGGACATGCGATGGCTTGGTTGGAGTAGGGGCTGGCAATGATGCTCGTACCAGGGGTCATTGTTGGAGGTGGCAGACCTGATGGGCTCTCCGACCTGAACAAGGGGTGGATGTGAGCCTCGCTGCATGCTGGACTCGGTGGGCGCGAGATGTCTGGCATCATCTTCGGGGGCGGGGGCAGATCTTCATCATCTTCCTCTGGGAGTTCTGACAGAAACGGACCGTCCAGCGCGCGAGCGGGCGAGTGAGGACGGCTGCCGGGGATCGGCTCCAATGTTGTGCCCCTTGTTGGCGCCGCTTGCTGCAGGACGACATCGCGTGCTGGAAGGCTCACGCTGCTTGTGTCCCAGCTATCGAACCCATCGGAGTGAGAGACAGTGTCAATCGACTGTCGGTTCGAGTAGATGCTGGCTGGGGCGTCTCTGGTGAAGGACTTCTGGCTGATGAGAGTAGTGCGCGAGTTGACTGGGCGGACTACATGACGTAGAGACTCTCGGAAAGATCTGAGGGACTGCGATGAGCGAGTAGAGAAGGTGGGCGAGGGCAAGGCTCCAAGGACCTCGGGTTGCTGATGAATGGCCATGGGAGTCGCAAGCTGGGTGTGCTCTGCGAAGTTGAGATGGCTTGGGCGCGAAGTCCGCAGTTCACTCATGACTGAGTCACGGGGGCCTGATGTGATGACAGTCTGAACTTTGGGTGCTTTGCGGTTCCATAGCGATGAGGTGTACAGGATGGCCTGACTGAGACATGATACGACCCAGGCTGCGATCTGTCCCGAAACATGGCTGTCCCAATTTGAGACCGGCGCAACAGCAGGGTCGGCTGTGACCTCTGCCCATCTTGACTTGATCATGATGATCGAAATGAGAGACAGTACCAACGCAGCGCCAGATATGAGAACGCTGACTGTTACCAAAGTCTTCCTTGCCCGACCTGATCGCTCTAGGGCTCCGCGGACGTTTCCCACATTGTGAAATATGTAGAAGCCGACACAGCAGAGAGAAACGACGTCGAAAGTGCTCGCTACAGCAGCGATGCTGACCAGGGAGGATTGAGACGAAGAAAGAGATGCCGTTTCCAAGATAGACAAGACGGTGTCGGCGGCTGTGCTTGACCATGCAATAACGCCAACAAGGGAAAGGTAGAATTTTCGAGATTGCAACATGATGGACGAGAGGCGTAAGGTTGTTGGTCAGCTCAAACCCCGGCCTGAGTACTCTTGGTGGAGGGCGACAGTCAGCCTGGAGTACGTCGAGGTACCGATACAGACGGGAGGTATAGTCGTATTATAGTACCAGGGGGTTCCAGGGGGGATTGTCGATAATTGGTTTTGGTTGAAGGACACCGAAGAGGATACTGCAGAGAAGTGGGTGAACTATCGGTTGAAATGCAAGATGGAGCCCCAGTATTGTTGCTGTGGAGAGACGCGAAACCGAACAGGCGCGAGTCGGACGCGTTGCAGGAAATAATGCGGCTGTATAGCTGCAGCTACTATAGTCGAGCAAGCCGTTACGGGGCGTGGCTGATGCGGGTCTAGTCCGGTTATAGTATGTACGGTATAGCTGGCCGATCTTCGGTGGAACGACTAAGGAATACGATGGGTTTTGGGAAGCGAGCGTTGTTCGACGATGAGTGACGAGTGGATGACGAGCGAGGGAGTGACGAAAAAGGGACAGGATAGCGGCGTGAAGAGGGGAGAGCATGTGGGGAGGGACGAGTAGTAATAATAAATTTGGGTGAAGTCGAGAAGGCTGATGTGTGCCCATTGTTTCGTGGACTGGCCTGCAATACGCGTGGGACAAACGGGGAAACCCCTACTAGTCTGCTGGGATGCACGCAAGCATCATTCGAGCATGGCGCTGCACGACCTCAGAGCATGGGTACCGAGTCCTAAGGGCATGGCGATGCGACATTGGCACAGCAGAATGCAGTAGCACGGCCGCAGAGCTGAGAGTATGATGGCAAGCCTACGATTCAGCGTGGTGGCAGTAGGCCGGATGCGCTGGAATCTGATGCAAAAGAAGGAAAACAGTTTGTCTTTTCGAAACACGAGCCAAAGCGGCCAATCGCGAGCGAGACCGGGTCAGGCGTCGAGAGCCGGAAACAGCTCAAGGGCCTACCTGTCAAAGTTTATGGTGTGGAGCTGCGGTAAGTTTAGCCCTTCATTTCCTGACGCGTTGTTTTGACTATGCGTTCGGCAGACACAACAAACAACCTGGAGAGAAGGCGATCGGACAATTTCCACGCCTGATGAGCTGTGGATACTCGCTCGATCTGCCACGGCTGGTAAGCGCTGGCGAGGCATTACGGAGGTGCGACCGACGATAGTCCCCTCGTGCAGTGCGGAGAGCACAGCATATCAATAGGCGACCGTCACACAGTCGGCGTGTCCTAGCCAGAGTTTGGCAAGGCGGTGAAACGGTCTCGTCGCCTCATGGCCAGCGACTCATGGCGGCTCTAGGGCGGGGATTGAAACAAAGGGCCGAGCGATGAGCAGCAACCGGCTGGGCGACGACGATGACAGCACCTGCAACCTTGTCAAGATTTTGGAGTTGGCGATGCGCGGCATGTGGAAGCGTGCCGTGTGTCGATGCGATGTCAGCACACTAGCCGGGGAGGAGATGAAGCTGCGGCTGGGCGATCTGCTGTTGCGTCACTGGCCGTGTTCTGGCCGTTGGGGCCCTGCAACCGATAGTCGAGCCCTGAGCTGGATGTCAGCAGCCGCGTAAAAAGTAAACTCTCGTGGCCAGTAACACCTGGTATGTGTGGTGGGTACATCAATACCGAGGAATAGGTCTAGGGGTCTCTTTTGCGCCCAGGATTAGCGATCAGGATTCACGATCAACGATGCAGGAGGCGCCTGAAAAGTGAAGCCTGGAGGTGCGCCACATGTGGCGTCGGTTTGGCAGAGCTGTGGCGTACAGCTCCAGTGTCAGTGTGAGTGGCAGTGTCAAGTGGTAATGTGTACCAGTTGACTGTGGTTGACGACAGCCTAACCTAGTGCACCGTGTTTCCACGACCTTCTGAGCAAACGACGCTCGCTTTGTGAGGATAAAGGCTGCAATCGAATTCACATTGCTCCTGCTTCTGCTTTTACCTTCTTTCTCACTACGCGGTACTACTAAACCCCGCCAAGAAGTGCCTCATCATCCCCACTACCTCACCTACAACACCGACTCCGACACCCCGCCCACCCAGCTCCATCTTCAACCACGCACCCAGCAACCGCCAAGATGAAGATCACATTCAAGGTAGACACCGACTGCCTTCTTCAGCACGTTATAGTCTGCTAACCTCTGCAGGACCTCAAGCAAAACAAGTTCGTCATCGAGGCCGAGCCTTCGGAAACGGTGCGCAGACCCGCCACATCCAGAAAATTATCGCAACCGCCCTGCTGACAGACACACTAGATTGGCACCCTCAAGTCCAAGATCCAGGCCGAGAAGGGCTGGGAAGTTCCCCAGCAGAAGCTCATCTACTCCGGTAAGCTGCTGAGGTGACATGGCTGCTCAGCACAGTCGCTGACACAAGACAATAGGCAAGATCCTGCAAGATGCCAACACAGTCGAGTCGTACAACATCGAGGAGAAGGGCTTCATCGTCTGCATGGTCTCCAAGCCAAAGGCCGCCGCCGCATCGTCAAGTAAAGCAGCGCCCTCAACGCCCGCTCCAGCAGCAGCCCAGACGCCCGCAGCTCCTGCCGCGCCCGCACCTTCATCCAACACACAAAACGCCCCCGCTACACCTTCTCCTGCGCCAGCCCAGGCATCCGGCGAGCGCTTCAATGACCCCTCGGCTCTGACTATGGGTGGAGAGCGCGAGGCCGCCATTGCCAATATGGAGAGCATGGGTTTCGCACGCGCTGATATTGACCGGGCCATGCGCGCCGCCTACTTCAACCCCGACCGCGCGGTTGAGTATCTTCTGACGGTAGGACAAGTGACCATTCTGGCCTCGACACACGTGCTGACATCATTCTAGGGTATTCCGGAGAGCGCGCTCCAAGAGCAACAGCAACAAGCACAAGCCCGTGCCCCGACCTCTCCCACGCCCGCTGCTGGCGGCGACACAGGTGCGACACCTGCGCCTGCCGGAAACGCACCATCCGGAAGTGACGAGCCGATGAACCTCTTCGAGGCCGCTGCCCAGGCTGCTCAAAATCGTGGAGGTGCTGGCGGTGCCCGCTCCGGTGGTACTGGCGGCGGTGCTGCGGCCGGTGCGCTCAACGCCAACTCTCTCGAGTTCCTGCGCAACAACCCACAGTTCCAGCAGCTACGACAGGTTGTACAGCAGCAGCCACAAATGCTTGAGCCCATCCTACAGCAGGTCGGCGCGGGCAACCCTCAATTGGCGCAGATGATCGCAAACAATCCAGAGCAGTTCCTGCAGCTCCTGGCCGAGGACGCAGACGAGGACGCGCCGCTGCCACCCGGTGCTCAGGCCATCTCTGTAACTGAGGAGGAGCGCGAGGCTATCGAGCGCCTGTGTCGCCTTGGGTTCGAGCGCGATCTCGTTATCCAAGCATACTTTGCATGCGACAAGAACGAGGAGCTGGCCGCGAACTTCCTGTTTGACCAACCCGACGATGCCGACGACCAGTAAAGGGACCTCGAGTTCTGTGCGATCACTGTGCGACCTCACCATACCCGATGTCGACCCTCCTCCGGTTGATATCACCGTTACAATCGCACGACAACCATCCCGAAATTGGACGAATACTATCTCGAGTCCACTCCCCTCACACGGCTCAGTGCAGTTACTTGGGAATACGGAAAGGAACATTCCGACTAGTCCCACTGCTTACCATGACGATAACATGATACCTTCCGCATGCGGCACGCGTAGGAGCTGGACCTGCTGGTTTCTGGGTAGTAGATGGACCGGCGTATGCCTGCTGGGCGAAAGTAATAGCTCATCAATAAATCACCACCCCATTCCACGTTATTGAATTGCAACATGGCATGTAGTATAACGCCGAATTGACATGCCGTTGACCGACTACCGTACCCTTACAACTGACATTACTCACGTTCTACCCGAAAACGCACCGGCACCCCGAAACGGTGAACCGCAAAGATAAAATAGAAAAAAGCTACACAGAACCCTGGCTCCAAGCTGTTCCGAGAAAGGTATACCAAGGTGAAGGGGGAGAGGAAAAGCACAGCCTCACTCGTCTGACCCACCCCTTTGTTTCTTGGATCCTCAAAAAGAAAAGAAAGTCGCCTGTGCCATCTGTGTCTTACCCAGACCCCACCCACGTTCACGACATCTCCTTTTTTTTCGCGGTCCAAACTGCCGCGTCGGTCTGCGACCCGCGAGAGTTGTTTTTAGCTGTTGGCGTTGTCGTTGTGTGTGTAGCATGGTAGTTATTTTTGCAATCCCCTGACGGCCCGCTCCCTTGCGTTGATCGTTCTGGATCCCGCTTCCGCTTTCTTATCTAGGGTTTACATCCGCTTGGTCGGTTTTATCTTTGTTGCTTTTCGCCGTATAGATGCGGTGATGTGCTGTGACGCGACTTGTGGTGGCGAAGGGATGGGTGATGCTGGCTGGCTACATGAAGGGATCGCGAGGTTGATTTCATGGGATGTTGGAGGGTTGTTGTAGGTGGTGTGGTGGAACAGTTCTAGAGAATCACAGGTGGTGGATCAGAGTAGTAAAGAGGTAGATGTGAAGATATGGCTAGATAAATGACTCAAAGGTATCAATTCCGCAGAACAGTGGTATACAGGTAAGCTAGAGAACTGATCACGCTTCGACGGCAGTAGCCTTCCTCTTGCGACTCCTCTTCTTCTTTTTCTTCTCGCCTTCGACAATGTTGCTGTCATTGTTACTGTCGTTACGATTGTCGCGCCTAGGTACCGCAACCTCTTCTTCGCCAAGCAGAGTCTCGAATCCGCCCTTGGGTCCGTCAGGGTCGCCAAAGGTGTCTTTCCTCCACTGCCTGATGCGAGCCTTCTTGCTGAGAAACTTTTTGTCCTTCTTCTTCTTGATGGGATCTCTGAATGCGGCGAGTTTCTTCAGGCCCGCGAAGTCGTTCAGGGCTTTGTCGTCTGCAAGCAGGATATCGCGCGCAGTCAGACCGAAACTCGTGGGAGATGTTTCGCGGTAGCGGAAGCGGGAGGCGGCTTTGGAGGGCTTGGCAGCGAGAGCGGCTTCGTATTCGAG